CTCGCCAACCAAAGGCCTACCTCTTTGATTTAATTGTCCTGGGGCGATCTGCTCTTGGTGTTGCACTGGTCCCTGTTGCCTGCATTGTCTGCCACTGTGTCAGTACTCGCCGGTCCGGGCGGCTGCGCATGCGCGTCCGGTTCCGGCCGCTGCTGCTGTGTGCGTCTGGTTCCGGCCGCCGCTCCAGGCTTTTCTTGTAGATATGATATCTGCTTCCATTTTCCTGGACCAGTTTTACCTAGCACATGTCATTAGAATTTAAATTCATGTAATATTTAATTCTTGTTCTTGGTCAGACATTCTCCATTTAGAAATCCATTCCCCACCCTCCCTACCTAAAACAGTTGGGGACTCTGCAGCTGTCACTGGAAGGGTCTTTACTCCATAACTGGCTGTGCTTGCCTCTGACAGTAGTTACTCTTTGTAAGGCTGGGTTAGGGTTGTATATTACATGTTCTCACTCAGTGTAAAAGATGTCTTCCTGTGTGTTGTTACATCATATCAGGAGTTCTAGATTTTCAGAGTTTTCTATGTTTAGATGCACTATGCAGTTGTAGAGTATGATAACATACTTATGGAAAAAGCCTGAAATATTTTCCATGTATTCCTGACTCCTTACATTTTTTTATAATTGCTAATAGATTCATAATAGAATTTGGATTTTACTGTTTAATCAAGTGAAACCATTTTAAAAGAAGAGGATTCAGAAAACATGAATTGGGTACAGGGTAGAACAATATCAGCTCAGTGATGTAAAAATTTAAAATGTTTCAATCTTTAATTAGTGAGTTAGCTAAAGGGTGATGGTTGTACTTGGAAATAATCAAAACTTAGGTAACACTCTATGATATGGTCAATATTTATGGTCAAATAGACAAGGTTTGTAATCTCCATACAAAAAAAAATCCCTTGTATGTGTGCGAGGATTTTCTAGTGTTGTTAATGAAGGCGGACCCTTTCATTTTGTTGGAACCTGACCAAGTCAAATGGAGCAGGGATCTGGGCAGCAGAGTTTGTCAGTGTTTCCTGATTCCTGCTGCCCTGCCTGGCATGCTGGGTGGATTGTGTCCCCTTAAACTGTAGGACAAACTTGCCCAATGTGGCTTTTGTCAGGCAATTTGTCAGGACAAGGAGACAAGTAACCAATTTATTTGTAATATGATTTGAGAAATCTAAAGTATAAACCACGTGGGCACATGTGTTTTCATATAGGTGTTGACATACCAAGGATTTTATGATGAAAATTTAGAATGGGTTGGTCTGGAGAATATTCAAATTGTCGCTTCCATGTCAGCTGGAGGAAGGCTGGGAAGACACAAGCTGACCACCAGGTTTACGTCTATTGTTCGTCTTTGTGCCGTAGAGTATGTATCCTAGTAACAGTTTTTTGTTTGTTTATATTTTATTCAAGATACTTATCAAGAATACTTCAAAATATAGAAAGTTAAGTGGTCAAGTGGGTTCATTTCAAAACCTTTGTCAGTGGTTTAGAGTATGCACGGTCTTTTATAGAACTCTGTATGTTGTGCCCCAAACGTCAAGAGTCAGAGCTGCCTAGCAGCTTTAGGTCTGTGTATTTCACTTAAGATCTGACATTGATATGGTGCTTATTGATGTGCTGTGGAATGTTTTGACACGTTACCTAATGCATGGTGCTTGAGTTCACTTAAGCATATTTATCACTGTGATGAAAACACTCAAGGTCCTTCTTGTAGTCCTGGGGACACAGTTACCACCTCCAGTGGCACACCAGACCTTCTTGCTGCTGTTGAGATGCAGCTTCATCTGTCCCACCCCCAGCTTTTCCATGCGCTCCTACCTATTGATTCTGGGAGCCACGGTCCTGCTCACCACTTGCCTGAGAGCAGTGCTTTTAGACCATGTGACAGAAATCACAAAACTAATATTATTTAATTTTATGGAGATAATGAAAGAGTTGAATCTGATGAAAGGGGAGTTGGGTCATATGGCTTAGGTTGGGATTCGTCTGTCCTTCCTTGTGCTCCTGGATGTGAACTGGACTTCTGAGTTCTATGTTCCAGCACCATCTCTTTGTAAACTAACCCTGGTCAGTTTACAAGTTCCCACTCACTACATTCTATCTATGCACATTGTTATTTCTAAGGTGTTATCGTTGCCGGTTAATTGGCATGGAAATGAATTTGGGCTTGGGGAAATAGGCTCATTTTTGTTGTGTTATTTCTTTTCTTAGACTTCTGACCTGGATTACTGCTCTGTGTGTAGGTTTTACTTAACTCCAAATGCTTTCCTTAAGTAAATATGTTTTATTCTGAAGTTGAGTGGCTTTTCAATTTTTGTATTTAAATAGTTGATTACAGTCTTGGATAAAGCCTTGCTCTGTTGGAGAAGAGACACTGAGGGATCTGGTTGGGTTCTCCAGAGAGAGCAGGAACTGAGTCTGTTCTGACGCACGGGCAGCCCTGGGTGTCTGGGTCTTAGAGAAATGCAGTATGGAAGTTTACACGGTTGTATCTTAATGTGGAAATATTGATTTATGATATTGATTTATTTCAGCTTTCTTATTTCTGTCTTCCCCTTAGTTACCCAGAGAGAGAGCAGTTACAGACAATCTATGGAGCATATTTGGAAGCAGTTTTGCACAAAAATCTGAAGAATCATTCTATTTGGGGTTCTTCATCAAAAATTTACCTCTTAGCAGGCTCTATGGTACAGGTGTATGAACAGGTAGGTATGTTTGCACTGTAGTTTCCAGTTCTGTTGGCTCATCCTGGTCTTTGTGCTGATGATTTGTGATAGTTGCTGCAGTGTGATTGATGGCACAGTAACAATGTATCCAGTTATAGCCTGCAGGAGCACAGGCTGAGTAACTTTATGTGTATGGAAGGTAAGGAGGTGTAAAGTTTGATCTGTGTCAGAAAAAAAAATGGAAAATCACAAAGTATTTGAAGACGAAATTTTGTTAGGTAAAAGCAGTAGTATTTGCAGTGCTTGTGGAAGAAGCTCTTAAAAGGCTGGGTTGGAGCAGGGGGAGATATGTTAGGACAGGTTGTGTGAAAAAATGCCTAGGTAACATACACTAAGAGTAATGGCTCTAGCTGTGGGTAGGGCGGCTTTTAAGCTCTTTGATTTCTTCAATGTCTTCCTGAAGCTACAGCAGCTTCTGGGTCTCAACACCTGAAAACTTTTGGAGTGTTTTGTTTCAGTTTTGTGGGGTCTGTAGAATTCAACTGTGACTCAGTGATGTTAGTCAGCTTATGTGCAATCTGTGGCTGCACCCTTGCTGCATGGCAGACTCTGGCAGTCGGCTGAAGTCTCCTAGCCTGGCTGGGAGTAACAGTGTGTAAGTAGCTGTGCTCAGTGGAGTACACCTGAAGTCAGACCTTGCCTGCTTGAGGCAAGAAGACTGCCATGAGTTACAAAGTGAGTTCTAGGCCAGCGTGGCTCAGAGTGGAGGCCCTGCCACAAAGATAAGTACATAAATAAAATGTGTAAGACAGATTATGGAGGAGAATTTTAAAAAATCAGTTCTCCGGAAATAAGATTAGGTGGCAGAAAATATCTAGGATGGTAAAATAGCTCTCAGTGCTTCCTCTTTCAGGTGCGGGCCAAGTTCACAGTTGATGACTACAGTCACTATTTCTTTACCCCCTGCATTCTGACTCAGTGGGTGCTTGGCTTGTTCAGATATGATTTAGAAGGAGGTGAGTTTTGGTTGTCCCTGTGTCTAACTATGCTCTAAGTTGTACTCATAGTAGGAACATTAAATATTGTGACTGATATAATACTTAAAAATGACTATTAGTGCATTAAATTTAAATAGCTCTATTATGTTTCTTACTATTAAGAGGATAATAATGTATTATATTCCTTTTTCCAACCTGTTTATCACTGTACAAATTTGATTTTAGAAAAGATAAAATATTTTATTTCATAGCCAAACCAATTTTATTATGCAATTTGGAAATGATAACTTTATTGAACAGCTGTAATGTTTAAAATATACCACTTTATTAAAGGAATGAATTTTAACTTTTTTCAATTTCTTCTGTTTACCTGCTGCCACAATTATGGTATGTAGATTCTCCCTGTATATTTATTTCAAAACATTTTGTTAAACAGACCTCTTGAAAATAATTTAAGACTCACTGTGATTAAAGAAAAGCTTTGCCTTTTTAGGATCTTCCAACCATCCATTAGATTATGTTCTGGAGATTGTAGCCTATGAGGCTCGACGCTTGTTTCGGGACAAAATCGTTGGGGTGAAGGAGATTCATCTATTTGATAATATTCTAACCGCAGTGTTCCAAGGAGACTGGGGCTCAGATATACTAGACAACATGGCAGGTAATAAAGATCAATGTACAGAAGTTATAGGTGTTTTAAATTTTTGTGTCTGACCTGATTCATGATTTCATGTTTCAATAAATAAAACTTAGGATGATTACAATTTTAATTTTCCCAAAAGGGAAGATGCCCAGCCATTTTTGCTAGACTTATACAATTATAATACAAACAAAATATAATAGGTACTTTCTTGAAAAGGGTGTTCAAACTTGTTGTTGTATATTTGTAATACAAAGTTGTTTTCCCAGTAGAATTTTCACTAACGATGGAGTTGGCTGTGGTGGCACACCTGTAACCCAGCACTTGAGAGACAGACACAGCTGTGTGACAAGTTTTGAGGCCAGCCCAGTCCACAGAGCAGGTCCTGTCCAGTTAGGGCTATGTAGTAAGACCCTATTTAAAAAAATTAAAAACATAAAATGAAGTTTTAGTATCTGATTAAATATGAAACATAAAGGTCATTGTGAAGTTCCTCACTTGATTATAATGCCTCTTGTTTAGCAGAAGAGCATTGCTTTCCCTGTTGTTACCCATAAAATCTCTGGAACAGGACATCATGTTGTGCTTACTCCTAGTTTCCTTGGCTTCATGTGAGTAGACATGTTGCGTTCAGGGCTGTCGCGCATCAGAAACCGCTGTGGTAGAGAGAGCACTCCAGTGAGGGCCTATGATAAAGACATGGAAAATGTTTCATAATGCAACAATTATCCAGCTACACACCGTGCTAACAGATGTTCATGAGTACTCTTATGTACTGTATATTGATGCTGTAAAACAATCCCACACCAGTCAGAATTACTGATAATAAAAGGGTTATTTATTTAAAGGGGAAACTTACAGATCACCATCCTAAACAACAGACCTCTAAGCGCAAACAGGAACAGAGTCTAGCAGCTGGAAAGGGAGCCCGAAGTGAGAGAGCAGGGCACATGATTCCCTCTGCTTTATAAACTCTAAGAGACCACTCCAAGTGGGCTGGTATCTTAAAGGCTATTGGCTGAAGGAGCAGAATGTGCTCCCACAGCAGTATATTACCCAAGTCCAAGGAAATACTGAAAGTGGAAGGCTGTTGGGGTTGACTGAACGACTCTCTAGATATTTCCAGAGATTTGGAAGTCGGGAGAACAATCTAAAAAAAACAACGCAAGGGAAAGTGTTGTGAAGAGGCTGCTGACAGCTGAGCATCATTTTAATAAGGTCTGCCTCATCTACTCGAGGATTGGCCAGGCTCTCTGGCAAGGCTTTGTTCTTGGAGTCAGGCCACAGCTTGAGTCCGCAGTTCCTCTTCCTGTAAAGGTCTTTTGTGCTTTGGATGCTATCATTTTTTTTCCGTGTCCCAGTTCTCTAGGATTTGGTGGTTTTCAGAGCCCATAAAAGTTTTTTATTCTCAAGAGGCTTACAGTTGAACGCCAGAAATGTGACAATCTTTGCTTTCAGTGGTGACAATTAGTGATGTGCTTATATGACATGAAGACTTGTGGAAGTTGTGGTTAAACTTGTAATTACAATGGAGCATAGAGTGTTGTAACTTTTCCAAGTGTATTTGATAAATACTAGTTTTTAGGGTGGTAGAAGAGGTAGAGAATAATCCTTGTTTAGGGAAGTTGCATAAAATATATGTATTAAAAATTTTATAACTATAGTGTTCTTAAAATTAGTATATAATAGTATAATAGGTTTATTATGACTTCTTCACATATTTATAACATGTATTTTTCTTATATTTATATTCCATCAGCCTAACTTGTTCCTCCTTTCCCCCATTTTAGTCTTCTTCTCCCCACAGTCTCCTCTCTACTTTCATCCCTTCCTTCCTCCCTTCCTCCATTCATCCATAAATGTATAATCTCTCTCTCTCTCTCTCTCTCGCTCTCTCTCTCTCTCACACACACACACACACTTACACGCATGCACACTCATCTGTTGATGACCGTCTAGACTGATTCTCTGTCTTGACTGTTGTGTATAGGTCCATGTGTCTTTGTGATGTGTATGTAGACTTAAAGTCCTTTAGCTACATATAAGAATGTGCGGTACAGCTGACTCATGGGGTAGTTCTATTTTGAATTTTGTCTTTGAGATTCCACACTGATTTCTGTGCTTTGCAGATTTTACATTCCATTAACAGGATACAAGGGTTGTTGTTTTCCTATGTCTTCGACAGAATTTATTGTTTGTTTTCTTAGTTGGAGCCATCCTGACTCGGGCAAAATAGTTTCCCTGCAATTTTAACTTGCCTTTCCCTGCTGTCTAAGGATGTTGAATTTTATTGCATACACTTAGTGGCTAAGTTGTATATATTTTGAGGACTGTCTGGTCAGTTACTTTATCCATGTATTGACGGGATATTTTTGGTGTTGAATTTTTTTTAGATGTTATGTTAGATAGTAATCCTTTGTCAGATGTTTAACTGGCAAAGATTTTATCCCAGTCTGTAGGGTATCTCTTCTCCCTGCTGTGACCCTTGGCTGTGGAGAAGCTCTTATGCCTCACACTGTACTTTAATCTCTATTGATTTCTGCTTGCTATTTGCAGGACTTATAGATTCCTATTCAGAAAGTCCTTGCCTAGTCCTAGGTCTCTAAGAGTCTCTGTTGGGTTTCTATCTAGTGTTTTCATAGTTGTAGGTCTGAAAGTCTTTAATCCATTTTGAATTTTCTTTTGTGAGGGAAAAGCATCTGATTTAATTTGTTTATATGTGGATGCCAAGCTCTCTCACCGCTGCCTCTTAAAGAGACAGTTCTTTCCTCAGTGTGTATTATTGGCACATTTGTCAAGAGAAAAAAAGCTACAAGAAACAAAACCAATTAGTATTGTAGGTCTACTTGCGTTTATCTTACCTGCTCCAGTGATGTACATATGACCCATCTTTTCCTAAACCACACTGTCTAGATTCCTATAGCCACGGCATGATACGTGTTGAAATTAGGTAGCCTTATTTCTCATGGGATGATCATGTCTCTGTCTGTGTAATCATGTCTCAGTATGACAAGATTGTGACAGACCTTACATTGAGTTTTTGTATTGACCTGGAATGGATTGGTATCTGTACTTGGTGTCTTCTGACTCAGAAACATAGTCTGTCACAAGAGCATTTGGGTCTTTGGTATTTTTCACAAGTATCAGCATACAAATCTGGTATATGATTTTAGATTTATGTGTAAATTTCAAGTTTTTCGTTGGAAGTTATGTGTCCAAGTTGGTTTTGGTTGTTACTTTATGAGATAGGGTCACATTTAGTTTCCATGTTGGCCCTGAAGTTGCTATGTAGCTCAGGCTACCTTGAATTCGAAATTCTACTTTACCTTACAAGTACCTGGGACTAAGGGCCTGTACTGCCAAAGCAGGTTTTCAAAGGTGAATATGTTGAGTGAAGAAGAGCTTCAGGATGTTCCAGACAAGAGCAGTGAGGACGGAAGAAGTTAAAGGCTGAGAAACGAGTGTATAATGCAGAGTGATGGGTGTGCTAGGCTGTAGAGGGTGTGTAGACTTTGTCATTTCATTTCAGGGCATGTGAAACTATGATAAAGGATTGATGTTGTGCAGTTAGATGATAGTTTTTTTTAAAATTATTTATTTATCATGTATACAATATTCTGTCTGTGTGTATGCCTGCAGGCCAGAAGAGGGCACCAGATCCATTACAGATGGTTGTGAGCCACCATGTGGTTGCTGGGAATTGAACTCAGGACCTTTGGAAGAGGAGGCAGTGCTCTTAACCTCTGAGCCATCTCTCCAGCCCCCTAGATGATAGTTTTATATGTATTCTTTTAGTAACAGTGAGGGTATACACTGCGATAGTCCATATAAAATTATTAGTCATTGTAATAATCATACCACAATAATCACAATGTGTAATTATATCACACTGTTTCTAATAATTTTAATTGTTTAAAATTACTTTAAAATGTTGATTGGTGTGTTGAATATTTGAGAGTTTTCTGGGAGCCTTTTGAAAGCTGCATAGAGTTTGTTATTAGTAGGAATCATGCTTGGCTTATTCTGTTAGGAAGAGACTGTCACATTGGCCTGACTTGAGCATTGGATACCTCAAAGTCCACCACGAGAGACACACTTCCTCCAACAATGCCACATCTACTTCAACAAGGCCACACTTTCCAATAGTGTCACTCACTCTGAGCCTATGGGGCTATTTCTATTCAATCTGCCACATTTTACTCCTTGGCCCTCGTGGGCTTATAGCTATATCATAATGCAAAACGTATTTAGTAAAACCCCAAAAGTTCTCTCTCACACTCTATAATAATCTCAATATTGTTTAAAAGTCCAAAGTTCAAAGTCTCTTCTGAGATTCATGCAATCTCTTAACTATAATCCCCTATAAAACCAAAATGCAAAAGCAGTTCTCATTCCGCCAGCATACAATGGCACAGGATATACATTACCATTGCAAATTGGAGGAAAGGGAGCATAGTGAGGAAGTAGTGGACCAAAGCGAGACTGAAACCAGCGGGGTGAACTACACAATCTACAGCTCTTTACATCTCCAGCCCTTTCAGCCTCGCTGACTGCAGCACACTTCTTTCTCCTGTGCTGGTTTCACTCTCTGTTGGCAGCTCTCCTAGGCGGGTATCCCACGACTCTGGGATCTCCAACATCTTGGGGTCTACAAGGCAATCCAGGCTTCACCTTCGTAGGTTCACACAATGACCTCTCTGGGCCTCCATTCACGCTAGACCTGGCCTGGCCTCAGCAGCTTTTCTTAGTTGCAGAGAGAGATTTCGCAACCTCTTTCTTTTCTCCTTGACTCTAAACCAGAAACACATGGCTGGAGCCAAGTTCTGGTAATTGCTGGTGCTAGAACATAGCCCCTTGTTCAATGATATCTTCACCAGCTTTCTGTTTTTGATGGTTTGCTTCACTGCCTAAGCTTGGCGGTCCTAAAATTTGCTCTGTAGACCAGGCTGTCTTAGAACTCAGAGATCTGCATGCCTCTGCCTCTGGAGTGTTGAGGTTAAAGGCATGTGCCACTACACTCAGCTCTAAGCTTTTCTTTAATTCTTTTAAACAAATTGAAAACTTAGCTGGGTGGAATCTTGTCCTAAGGTCTCCATTCCCTTTCTTCCTATTAACTTCAGGCTTTTCTTTAATCTGTTTATCTCTTTGAACACAGGCTTTAGCAGCATCCTTTTTGGTGTGCCTTTTCTTCATGAGCTGTACATTTTATATTTTTTTCTTGCTCAGGCTTGCTCCTTTGCATGACAAATCTTCATGCAAGTGAATTCTATTAACCACGCGACAGAGTCAATCCTAGCCTGTTTTGAGATTTTTCTCTGCTAACTCAATAAGAACTCTTCAATTTATGGCCAGGTGGTGGTGGCACATGCCTTTAATCCCAGCACTTGGGAGGAAGAGGCAGGTGAATCTCTGTGAGTTCGAGACTAGCCTGGACTACAAGAGCTAGTTCCAGGACAGGTTCTAAAGCTACAGAGAAATCCTGTCTCGAAAATCAAAAAGAAAAACAAAACAAAACAAAACAAAAAACCCTCAAAAATATAACAACAACAACGACAACACCAAAACACTTTTCAATTTAACTCCAGATAGACTTTTTGAACAAAGGCAAAAGGCACCCACATTCTTCACTACAATATTTTAAGAACCTTTTCTAGGCCACATGCAAATGTTCTTCTCCTCTGAAACCTCTTGAACTGGGCCCCACTGTTCAAATCGCCCTCAGTGCCACTGTCTCCCATGCATCTACTAAGGTGTCCATTAAACCCCACTCAAAGCGCTTAACAGCTTTTCTAATCCAGAGTTCCAAAGTCTACACTCCTCCAAACAAAAGCATGGGCAGGCCTATCACAGCAGTACTCTGGTTCCTGGTGCTAACTTCTGTCTTACGGTTCTGTTGGTATGAAGACACACTATGACTGTGGCAACTCTTATAAAGGATAACATTTAATTGGGTCTGGCTTACAGCTTCAGAGATTCAGTCCATTATCACCATGGTGGGAAGCATGATAGTGCAGGGGCAAACATGGTGCTGGAGAAAAAGCTTAAGAGTTTTTGATCTGCAGGCAGCAGGAATTGACTGCCACTTTGGGCCTGGCTTGGGCACCTGCAGCTGCAAAGCCTGCCTCCAGTGACACACTTCCTCTAATAATGCTACACCTCAGTGACATACTTCTTCCAGCAACGCTACACCTACTCCTTTAGGCCACACCTCCTAAAAGTGCCACTCCTTATGAGCCCATGGGGCCATTTTCATTCAAACCAACATGGTGTGCATCTGCAGATAGAGCTTCCTTGTTTGTGCACACTGCATACAGAGAAAAGAGCTGATGAAGGTCAGAGGTCTCAGTGGGAAAGTGACTACAGTGTTGAACCCAGGAGAATTAAGCTTGTAAAGAGGAAGAAAGGGACAAGTTCAGTCAAATGCGGAGTACAATTTTCTTTTAAAGTAATGCAAATTAATACTGTAATTCTAAGAAAAATTTGGGGGATTTTTGGTTTCTAATTAAACTTTGCTTATTGATTTTTTTATTTTAGAAATTAAGGCCCTTGGTGATATCAGTAAATCCCTATTCTTTCGTAGGGAATGTTTTGTATTTGTTTTATCAATTTTATATAAGCTATTTTCATTTTACAAATATTATGTGGTGATTTTCTTTATTAGTTACTTTTCTTTTTGCTGTGACAAAATGCCTGGTAATAGCAATGTATGCAAGGGTTTGTTTTGGCTCAGCATTTTAGGTACCATCAAGGCAAGAAAGTCAGGGTGGCAGCTGGTCACAGTGCAACCATAGTCAGGATGCAGAGAGCTATGGCTTGCTCCCTTTTTTAACATTATCCAAGACCTTAATAGTTAGGGTGGTTCTTCCCACCTCTGATAATCCAGTCTGGCAAATTCCACATAAACATTCATAAAGGATAGTCTCCAGATCATTTCAAGTTGACAGTATTAATTATCACAATTCTAGGGAAGCAAGTGAGAGAAACTGTAGATGGAGCAGCTGGCTGCGTTTCTGCCGCCCGGCTTCCGGCCACCTGCCTAGTTTATGCCCCGAAATAACAACACACAAATTGTATTCTTTTAAACACTGCTCTAGCCTCTTACTGGCCAACTCTCATAACCTGCTTTAACCCATATCTAATAATCTGTGTAGCACCACGAGGTGGTGGCTTACTGAGAAGATTCTAGCGTACATCCATCTTGGGCCGGAGCTTCATTGCGTCTGACCCAGAGAGGAGAGGCATGGCGATTGCCTCACTTCTCTCTTTCTCCCAGCATTCTGTTCTGTCTACTCCACCCACCTAAGGGCTGGCCTATCAAATGGGCCAAGGCAGTTTCTTTATTAACCAATGACCTTTCTCCGTCAAGAAGCAAATAGTAGATTGGGGAGTAGCAGAGAAGTTGGAAGGAAGCCGCTTGTATGAAGAGAGAAAAGTGGTGATCTGGTTTACTGGCAGAGTTCCAGCATGAGTTGGAGAGGGACCCTTGTGGAGTTTTGGAGACTGAAGGAAAGTCTCTCCCATTGGGGATGTGCCAGGGTTGCCCATGCTCCAGTGGATAACTCCATCCCCATGCACACTGGGCAGCACTATTTGGTGTCTGAGTTATTAGTAACAGAACAACAAAAAGAGGATGTGAAGTTGGAAGAGAAATGGGTTGGGGGAAAGTGTGGGGATCAGTAGCAACAAAACACATTAGTAAATTGATAAAATTTTCAAATCATGAATATATTAAAAATGTTTAAAAAGTGGTTAAGGAATATAATGAAAATATTTAACCCCGCTAGTTCTCAGACTGATTTTGCTATTTTAATTTGTGATTTTATGGATCTTCTAAGTAATTATGTCAATTAATTTAGTGTAATCTACCTTTGTATTTCTGGAGACAATTTTATTTGGACTAAAAAAATAATTTAGTAAATAGGACAGCTGGTTCTCTCATCACTGGTGATATGAATCAACAGCATCTTTCTGCAGATAGCTACTATGTCACATGGGGAGCCCGGCATAGCTCAGGAGCAAATACAGTTCCAGGACAGCCATTACCTCCACATGGGAAACCACTTGGCAAACTGACCTCTGCAGACCTGAAGGATGTCATTAAGAAGGTATGGAATCATGCCCGGGAGTCAGGTATGGCTATGGTAGTATGTTAAAGTCTTGTTAGAAACATTGGAGTACGTGAAATGAAAGATCACACAATAGACAGAACCTGACCTGCTCTTTGGAGTTTAGCTCACTCTGGCAGACATTACCAGATGCACAGATGCATGTAGAATTACTCTTTAAAGATGGTATTGCCATTGGGCTAGCGATGAGAATAGTGATTGGGAAGTATTCCTGGAGAGGTGAGTGTTATACCTCACTATCAGCGTCACCTGGTGACAAAGAAAATAGGTGGGGTCCACGTTGGCACCACCAGAGTCAGGTCACCAGGTGAGGACTGGATTCAGAATCTCCATCTCCTGTGAGTTTCTTCGTTGTGACCTCTCTTTTGCCCTTTCCCTCCTTGCCTTCTCTCCACTTTCCTTTCTTCTCCCCCTCCATTTGCCTTCAGCCTAGTTGTGAGAAGGAACAGCGTGGCATGTGTATTCTTTTTTAATGTGTGTAACGTATGCTTGTGGGTACCCGTGGAGGCCATAGGAAAGGTCAGATCCACCAGAGCTGGAGTTAGGCTCTTGTGAGCCATCCTACATGTAGGCTGTAGTGCTGTCCACAGCTAGTTGAGTTTTGTACACCCTTGAACTTGACGTGAGTTTTTCATATGCCTACAAAGTTAGGTTATTACAAAGTAAAATTTTAGATGCAAAATAAAATATAGTCACTTCACCCTTTTCTTGAAAGTGTCAAAAATATAACATTCTAGTCTAAATAAGTAAAATTTAAAAAGATATATTTATTTATTATGTGTGTATGTGTGTGTGTGTACTGCAAGAGAGTACATGCACCATGTGCATGCAGGAGCTGAGAAGGTCAGAGTAGGCCATGAGGATGCTGGGAACAAAATCCAGCAAGACTTCTGAGCCATCTGTCCAGTCCCAGAAAAATAATATTTTCATTGTATTAACTAGAAATTGTATTAATTATAAAATCTGTTTTTGTCTTTCAAAGGGTCTTATTCATTATGGACGGGATAACCAGAATTTAGATATTTTACTTTTCCAAGAAGTTCTGGAATATATGTCTAGGATAGACAGAGTGCTAAGTTTCCCTGGAGGCTCACTTCTTTTGGCAGGACGCAGTGGTGTGGGGCGGCGAACTGTCACATCTGTAGTGAGCCACATGCACGGTGCGGTGCTCTTCTCGCCCAGGATCTCCAGAGGCTACGAGCCCAAGCAGTTCAGCAGTGACCTCAAGCACGTGAGTCAGCGTGGACGGCGGCTTCCTTTGTTTGCTTTGAAATCTTGCTAGTTATTAAAACTTGTAAGATTTCTACATGTAACACAGTTTTCCTTTTAATTTTGTTTTAGTTTTATTTTCTCCATGACTACTAAAGTTTCATCTGTGCACAGGAGGTTCCTGTTAGGATCTGAGATTATGGGATGTCACATTGTGTGATAAACAGGACTACATATTTGTGTAGGAAGAGTATACTTTAAAAATAGCCAGTTTTGCTTCACTGACTTACTTCTAAAATTAGTTTTCCTTTAAGTAATAGTTATTGATGACTCTAATTTACTTTTCAAATGGTACAGGTAAAATATGATTTCCTTTCTGTTTCTCAGTTCTAAATAAGTTGGTAAGTAGGCACTAAGTAAGCTAGGTATGGACACTTGGGAGGAAAAGGCAGCAAAATTCTGGCAAGTTCAAGCCAGTCTTAGTCACATAGCAAGATGCTGTGTCTCATAAACAATGCTAGCCGTAAAAGCACACCAAGCAACAAGTGGACAAGTGACTTATAGGCCCTTCCTTATGTGGAGAGCGCACTGCTCTGGAGCCTGTGGTGTGCCGTGGCCAGCTCCACATGCACACTGTCCTTGTCACTCTTCAGACTGTTGAAGGGTATGTTGTCATGTTGTCCTGCCAGCCACGGGTTGTCATCTTTAACTTCTCCCACAGTCCCTGAGAAGACTGGTCTTCCCTGTTCCACAGGTGCTGTATCTCGCGGGGATAGAGGCTCAGCAGGTAGTCTTACTTCTGGAGGATTACCAGTTTGTACATCCTACATTTTTGGAGATGATCAATAGCCTTTTGTCTTCAGGCAAGTGAATGGTTTCTGTGAAACAAATATATAAGTATTACTGTAAAGATTATTCCATTGAAGTTACTGTGTAAAGTTTACCTGTGTTACTGGACCTTGAACATAGTTGTTACTGAGGTCATGAGAGTGCACACATGGTTATGACTAAAGAATTGAGATCACAAGCTTTATAAAGCTAAGAATTATGTAAAGGTTACTGTTAATACCTCTGGTAGTGACTGAACAGAAAAATTTAAAGTAAAAATTGAAAAGCATTTCTTTTTTTTTGTTTTATTTTTTCATTAAAAAATTTACACTTGCTCCCCTCCTCCCATTCCCCTCCTGTTCCCCCACTCACTCTCCTCCCTCCCCCTCTATCCTTAAGAGAGGGCAGGAAACCCTGCCCTGTGGGAAGTCCAAGGCCCTCCCCACTACATCCAGGCCTAGGAAGCTTTGCATCCAAATAGGCTAGGGTCCCAAAAAGCCAGTACATGCAGTAGAAACAAGTCCCAGTGCCTTTATCAATGGCTTCTCAGTCAGTCACATTCAGAGAGTCCAGTTTGATTGCATGCTCATTCATGAAGAGCATTTCGTATGTAAAATTTGTCTTGAATTGGTGTATGCTAGTCAAAGTAGAAAAGACGTTTACTGTTCTTCCACAGGCGAGGTCCCTGGCCTGTATACTCTGGAAGAGCTAGAGCCTTTGCTGTCGCCTCTGAAAGATCAAGCTTCCCAGGATGGTTTCTTTGGACCAGTCTTCAATTACTTCACGTATAGTAAGAGGCAGAGAGTTCACCGCTCAGTTTATATTGTGCTTGGTGTGAAATAAATAGGATTTAATATGGCGTTCTGCACAGCTTGGCACCTTGGCCTGATTAGGGGTGGAGAGGGAGTGAAGAAAACATAGTAAACTTAATAAATGACAAAAAGCTGCATGGAGAAATGGGGCTCCTAGAACCTCAGTGTGATTATTGTGTAGAGCAGAGGAGGCGGACCTCCCATAGCTGGGCGTGCAGTTACTAGTTTAGTGCACACTGCTCGGTCGTTCATAAACAGTCGTACTTTTGCACACTGCCAACATTTTCACTTAGACTTTAAAAGGATTTTGCCATCTTCCTAAGCTTGACCCAGGTAGGGGTAAAGTTTTGCCAACTTCTCATGGGCCTGAGGCCTTGTTCCTTGACATGGCTGTGTACTTGTTAAGCAGTAACGTTCACTCAGGACTTCCTTGGCTCTCCACAATTTAATCTGCCATAATTTTTCATTAGATTGTGAAGGTATCTTAAATTTAGGGTTCTTTGATAATTAATGACTTTTTTTGTTATTTTTTCTTGCGATTTTAGAAAGTAACACAGAAGAAGCCTATGATAACAATATCTTAGGAAATTTTATCAGAGGGCAGTGTTGGAATTGTGGTGATGGTTTTGGAATACCAGCCTTGCTGTTTGCATTTTCATTTGATTGTATTATACTTATTACACTAGTAGATCTTGTCTTAAATAAGACAGGCTTTATAGTGTTTTTAAATGCTAAGTAGCTAATTATTTATCTAGAAGCATTTTCTTGTGCACTATGGAAATAAAATAGAATATTTTAAAAGCATAGATCCCAGCACCCAGCCATTCCTGTATGATATCTTTATGAATCCTTTTCTGAGTATGTGTGATTCACAAAACACAGGCGAAGAAATATTTTTATTCATTCTTAGAGAATTCATACACATATACTATACTTGCTGCCTTCTTTCCGTAGCCCACTGAGCTGAGTTATGCTGTCCTTGTTTCAGTGGATGTGGGGGCGGATACTGATCTTAGGCCATCTACCATGGCCGCTTCCTTGAATAAGCGAATCATTTTTTAACCAGTGTAAAAATCTCTCCTTAATATTATGTTGTAGTTTGCTTTTTTTCCATAAGCAGCTCCTACTGTTTCATTAAAAATATGTTTACCATAAAACCAGTCCATATATAAGTTCCTTGATTTATGGTTGTTCTCATAATTTTTCCATGATTACAGTTTCTCACATTTTTTTAGGAATTCAACAAAACTTGCATATTGTCTTGATTATGGACTCGGCAAATATGAATTTCATAATAAACTGTGAGAGTAATCCAGCTCTGCATAAGAAGTGCCAGGTGCTGTGGATGGAGGGCTGGTCAGACAGCAGCATGAAGAAGGTGCGCTCTGCCTTGACGCTGAGCTTGCTCTGCTTGTGCCTCTCCCAGGGTGTGCCTGCTGCAGGCTGAACTGTAGCTTAACTGAGGCCCTGGGCATTTCTACTGTTGAATACAGAATTTTAGGTGGCAACTTCAAGTATAAAAATTTTAATAGAATAAAGAGATAATTATCTTTAAAAAAATTGTATGACTTGGAATTATTAGCCTAACAGGCACTAGCCTAGAATTTTTTTTAAATGTATAGTAAGAAATTTAAAAAGTGAAAATTTAAAAATTTAAGTTATTTTAAAAAGCACATTGAGGGGTTGGATAGAGGAGATCTCCTGGGTGGACTGGGGGCACATAAGCATGGGAACTTGAGGGGTTAGATAGGAGGGCGTGGGCAGAGGCAGGTGTGTTGAAAGGAATGACTGGAATGGGGGCTTTATGGGTGGGGTAGAAGCCTGATGCAAGGGAAACTCCCTCCGAATCTACAAGGATGGCCCCAGCTAAGACTCTTGGCAGTAGTGGATGCACAGTGATCACGGCCATCCCCTGTCATCAGATTGGTGACTACTGCAGTTGTCATCGGAGAGCCTTCATCCAGTGGCGGATGGAGGTAGATTCAGAGACCCATGGCCAAACATTGGGCAGAGCTTGGGGAGTCCTGCTGAGGAGAGGGAGAAGGGATTGGGGGAGCCCGGAGGATCAGGGATTTGTAGAAAAACTCACAGAAATGGCTAGCCTGGCTCATGGGAACTCAGAGTCTGAATCAAAAGCCGGGGAGCCTGCATGGGACTGACCTGGGCCCTCTGCATCTATGTCAGGGTTGTATAGCTGGATCTATTTGGGGTACTCAAGGAGGTAGGAGCAGGGCTGTTCCTGTGCTTTGACAGGTTCTTGGGAATCGATTCCTTATGCTGGGTTGCCTTGCCCAACCTTTAGAGGGGGAGGTTCGTGATCTTAAGGTAGCTTGTCAAGGCATGCTTTGCTGATATGCATGGGAGGCCTGTCCCTTTCTGAGCAAATACAGAGGAGGGGTGGATGGGGGTGGGCAGAGGAGAAGCATGGGAAACTGAAATTGAGTTTCCTGTGTGAGTTCATAGCACGGCTCTAACTACAATCCACTTACTTTACTTTATCTGAATCAGTAATAACTTAGACATTAGGCTTTGAACAATATTCATACTCCCAATCGCTTACTTATTTTTGTATACTAGAGGTACATACCATGTCTGTATGTTTCAGAGTAGTGCATCTCAGGCAAAGCTTTAAACAGATGGAGGGCAGGCAAGGCTTTTTATCTGTGTGAATAGAGAGTGAGCAACTGTGAAGTTCTGGATATACTTCTCTGTTTTCTCCCTGAATTCAGAAGTGATTGATTACTTGAGATGAAGGATGAGGGGAGACACTTGGGTTGCCATCTGGTCTCTATACATACTTCCATCCCTCACAAGTGCTCTCTCAAAAACCCTGTACCTGACAAATGTTCACTTAAGGCCTCTTAGAGGCTTTTCTGCTTTGTCATGAATCAGTGAAAGGAAGTTGAACATTAGTTAAAGGATGTGTAGTGGGTTACATTTCATCCAGTGGTAAAGAATGCTCTGTATTTTAGATACCAGAGATGTTGTTCAGTGAAACAGATGGTGAAGAAAAACTTGACAAAAAAAGAAAGGAAGAAAAGAAGAAAAATTCAGGTAGTATTTTGGTGTAATATATTTATTTATTTACTTTTGTATTTATGAGATACTACTTTTTCTCATGTTAGAGATTCATGGGTGATGATTATAAATTTAAATAATGGGAACTATAGCACACCTTTCTCTGTTCCACCAGCTTCTAAATAGCAACACGGAGACTATTATTAATTATGAAAGCTCGGCCTTACCTTTAGGCTTGTCCTAGTAGCTCTTACAACTTAAATCAACCCATGATTTTAATTCATGTTCCTTCATGTGACTCTTCACCTGACTATATTCTGCCCTGCTATAGGCCAAAGCAGCTTATTTATTAACCAATAGGAATAAAATATATTCACAGCATACAGAGGGGAATCCCACATCATCTCTCCTTTTCTGTCTAAATAAAAAGGAAGGTTTTAACTTTAACATATTAAAATTGCATATAACAAAACAGGTGTCAAGCAAGAATTATAGTTACAATATTTCTTTGTGAGTCTAAAGTTTCATATCTAATATATCTTTTATCATAACTAAGGAAAACTATAGCTATCTAGTTTTCAACTCCATCAAAGACTTCAGAAGGATATAATATTACCTAAGTAAATAGCAAGTGTATTGTAAGCAACTTCCAAAACTCTAGAATTGACAGAGACATTTTTCTGGACAGTCACCCTGAGTTCTTCTGTAACATTGGGCATCCGTCTTCAGTATACAGGCCCGTAGTATCTGGCAGATTTTTTTCATGAAGTAGGAAATTTGAAAAACTATTTTGCCTATATTGACAGTTTGTTAGTCAGTTTCTTCTGTGTCTTGCAGAATGTGTGGTAGTTTCCTCTGTGAATCAGGAACCCTGAAGGACCATTCCATCTTTTGGAAAGTTCTGCAGTCACTTTTATATGGGTCCTGCATGTCCAGTTCATACAGCATCAAGCAGTCCAGGCAAGAACAGTTTCTTGCCAAAATGGCTAGCTTGTCACATTGAAGGCAAATTCCATAATGAGTTTCTTCAGTGTCCATCAGCCTCTTTGTAGTAATTGTTGCTACCAGAAGCAGACATGTCTCACTGTTGAGAAAAGTCTAAGTTCTTTAAACATTTTAAATGCCATATTCTGTAGGTCTTTGAAGTCTTTGAAGGTTGTCTATCTAACTGAAATATACCTCTGTATATCTAGAAAACCTAAGTAACATGACTACAAATTTAACTATTATCATTGACTATCTATTAATTCATAATTTTAATATTATATTTTAAATGAGCTATATATACATAATACCTTAAACAAGAGCAGAAATATACATATAGCAAAATTGACCTTAAATTTGTATCAGTTAGACCAAGATCCATACCAAGGTAAAATATTCATCTTTATATCATCCCGCCTGTTTTTTTAAGAAAGAGGTTGACTGACCATTTAACCATTTATAATCAACCCCCTTTAAATGAAAACAAACATTTATAAACAATCATTTTGGGAATTTGGACTAGTTTTCTCTAAACTTCTTCCTGCTGATTGTTGGGTAAAGTGTTTTTAGGGTTCATGGTGACATTCCAGTGGGTCTTGTTCCATAAAATCACAGTAGCCTGGAAGGAATGCACAGGTTCTCATCTGTAGAAACAAAAGCAGAAACTGTTTTCCAAATTAACATATCTTTAGATTCAAAATTTGAAGTCAAGATATCTTTAGGTTAGTTTAGCTTAGTAGCTCCCAGAAACAAAGGGCTCTCTGCAGTCAAAAAATGCAAAGAAAACACAATAATATACATAATCCAGACTCTCTGTGTATATTTCATCTTTATGTAACTTATTTTTTTACTCTATTATTTTAAGTATTTATTATGTTTGCTCCTTTAATCTATAATTGTCTGTATTCTTGTCTATACTTTTTTTCCCTCTCTCTTCCAAGCCTGTGTACATTTTTTTTTTTTAGCCATACTGTGATCTGTTCAGAGGTTTATTTTTTGTCTGAGTCTGTCTGTATTACTTATCTGTAATCATTTTCTGACCAGAAGCACCTTTTATTCTTTTAAATGCTAATTGGTTGTGGCTAGGACCAACTCCATGGCCCTGCCTGTTGGCTCTGCCCCATCCATCATGGCAGAGGTATTTTTACTGCCTTTGCTAGCCATGCTCACCACCCCAGCTCCAGAGATGCAATGGGTCTTTGTCTTCATTAATCAACTTTTAGCATTCTGCTTACACACCCCATTTAAGTGAAGGACCTCCTGAAAAAGCCATATTTCATGCTGCTAGCATGAACTTGGAATCACACTCTTAAAGGAGCTGCACAGTTTTTGCTGTTATCACTGAGTCAGGAAGCCTTTGCCTCTGCTTGCGTCTAACAAACAGAGCCCACCTGAGAAAATACTGCTGTCAAGAAGCTGTGCTTAACTCTGTTCTTTTGAGTCTGGAGTTCCTTCCCAAGTTCTTGCAGGTTTTATGTGTATGTAGTTACCCCACATTGGGCACCATATGTAGTCAGAGACTGCTCATTTGTTTCCCTGCACACAGATTCAAATCATCATACAGAAACTATATTAATTACAAAGACTCTTTGGCCAATAGGTTAGGCATATTCCTAGCTAGCTCTTATATCTTGAATTAACCCATTTCTATTAATCTATGTATCACTACTAGGCTGTGGCCTACTGGTAAGGTTCTGGCATCTGTCTCCTTCAGCAGCAACATGGTATCTCCTTGACTCTGCCTACTCTGTCTCTATAACTCTTCCAGCCTGGCTATATTCTGCCCTGTAGTGGGGAATCCCACATTAGTGGTTACTTGGGGGAAATGGCAGGGAGATAGACCACTTTAGATGTGCACTATGACTTGGGAAAGATAAGGACTAAGCCAAGGAAAAGAATGGACTTGGAGGGTTTTGGGAATTAGTTTTCATGAGGGTTGAATGTATGATGGTTGTGACATATAAGAAAGGATGGATCAAGGGTGCTTTACTGGCTTCTTGCTTAAGAAGTAATTAAAAGTTTGCTTCATTCTACAGGAGGGGATGCAGATGGCCAGTGAGACAGAAGTGTGTTTTTGATCACAGATACATTGAATTCCATTTGAACTTACTCCTAACTTTCTGAAAAATATAACCTTTGCAATATTCTCCCCTTCTCTATCAAATGAGTAGATTTTATTTGGTTTATAATCTTTTCTATTTCAAGTAGATATTACTGTGTTGACTTTGATTACATGCATAATCTAGTTCTAATTAATTTATAGTGTTATAATAACCCATAGAATGATTTTACAGCAATAACACTACCTGGGGGGAATCCAATAACAGTGGAAAGATAGAGATCACTATAACCATAGAGTTCAGATTTCCTAAAGAGCATAGAAGCTGTGGATGCTTTTATGCTTTTAAGAAAGGTCTTGTAGGCAGGGTGGTGATGGTGCATGCCTTTAATCCTAGCACTCGGGGAACAGACAGGTGGATCTCTAAGTTTGAGGCCAGTCTGGTCTACAGAGTGAATTCCAGGATAGACTTCAAACCTACAGGAAAAACCTGTCTCAATCCACCCCCCCACAAAGAAGAAAGGTGTTGTGTTTAATAACTACATAGAGTAGGGTATCTGAGATATAAGTAAGATTATTTAATATAATTTTTAATATCTTAGGCATTTAAGTAACTTTTACTTCCTGTCTTTTTCTAGTTGATCCTGACTTTCTAAAATCATTCTTATTAATCCATGAGTCTTGTAAAGCATATGGGGCCACCCCAAGCAGGTATATGACCTTTCTTCATGTGTATTCTGCCATCAGCAGCAGCAAGAAAAAGGAGTTACTGAAAAGACAAAGTCATTTACAGGTATAGTATTGATAGTGTTGAAAGATTTCATATTTAGTTTTCAGTTATTATGTCTTGACTTACTGCTTATAGGGAATGATTTTGCAGATCACAATGCTATGGTGCATGTGAAATATATTTAGTGTGGGTAATTAATGTATAATAAATCCCCAAGAAACAATTATACTTCCATATAGTGTCTCCCACTAGTTGTAAGAAGGCATTTTTCATTAGTAGTTATTTCACTTTTGAGGGATAATATTTGCAGTTTTGACAGTGTAATGCTGCCCTTAAGGGCCTTTTTTAATATGCGAACAATTTAGAAATTGAGAAATCATTATTTAACTGGGTATGATCCATGCTTGTAATGTAAGTATTTGTTAATCTGAGGTAGGAGGATTAGAAATTAGAGCTAGCTTGGACTAATCAAGAGACTAGAAGAAAGAAAGAAAACAACGGAAATGTAAGCAGTGCTTTTGTAGATATTATTGGAAAGGTTAATATTTGACATCGTGAAACTGAAACTTTAAATAGTTAAAAAAAATCTGATCTTTTCAGTTAAAGTAAAATAATGTTCTTACCCATGCCACTTCTGTAGTGAGTCTTTCCCTGTCTGGAAAGGAAAAGTGAGTCTTTCCCTGTCAGGGAAAAAAGACAAAACACTGGTCTTATGGTCAAGCCAGATGATGTAGGTGGGTCATCTGTCAATGTGTTACTTTCATTGGTTAATAAAGAAACTGCCGTGGCCCTTTGATAGGACAGAATTTAGATAGGTGGAGTAGACTGAACAGAATGCTGGGAAGAAGGGAAGTGAGGCAGATGCTATAGCTCTCCTTTCCAAGATGGACACAGGTTAAGATCCTTCCCGGTAAGACACCACCTCGTGGTGCTACACTCATTAATAGAAATGGGTTAATCAAGATGTGAGAGTTAGCCCGTAAGAGGCTAAAGCTAATGGGCCAGGCAGTGTTTAAAAGAATACAGTTTCAGTGTAATTATTTTAGGTAAAGCTAGCCGGTGGCCGGGAGCCCTCCTGGGCGGCGGGAAGTGGCCTGCTGCTCCTTCTACAGCCAGGGTTAGGTGTTTTTCCTTGGCCCTTTTTACCCTTACAAACACAAGAAGGGAATTTGACAACATGACCTTTGGTAGGAAAACAATATCATTATTGTTAACCTCTTAACCAGGACTCCATGACTTCCATAGCCATGAGCTTGACTATGTCACAGTGCTTGGTGTGAATTTGATCCTTTGGAGTAGGCCTCATGTCCAGTCTTGCACTATGCACCAGGGAGCTTATCTTACCTGGCCAGTCAATAGTGTTGCATCTAGGGTCCAATACTGAATAAGACCATTGACATCTCCCCAAACAGACTGCATAGCACCTTCCTGCAACATCAAAGCCAGATAGTGGGACAGAGTTGGTTTAAGATTGATGTGTTACTATCCTGTAACCAAAGTGTATGGTGTTGGTACAGTAGTGTCTTAGTTATGGTGGGGAACTAAGAGGATGTAAAACCAGTAACTAAGTATGATTTTGGTTTTGGTGAGGGTTGATTTTAAGGTTAGTTCTTAATGGTGCTTTGGGTAAATTATATAAACTTGCAGAATTGTCCCTTCATTGTGATATATATTACATACATATGTGTGTGTGTGTGTGTGTGTGTATGTGTGTGTGTATGATTAAATTCTGTGTGTTACCTATATATTGTATAGGTCCTCATAGGGGACAGAAACCTTAGTTAATAGAAGAGTAGGAATTTATTTCTATGACCATTTCTCAGATTAGTGATTGGGAAGTAGGGCAAGGAACCATAATGGCCATGTCAGGTCAAATGCCTTCTCAGAGAGCACGGCATTCCACCAGCTCTGTGTGTGAGTAAACCAAGCCAAGTCTGCTGTTACAGACTGAAAGATCCACCGAATCTTCCTTTGCCTTCTGTCCTGTCAATGAGTAAAGACGAGTCAGCCCACTAGTTAGGTTTTTGAATATTATGTTCTGTTCAACATCACTGTCATGATTTAAAACAATAGTTCTCAGTTTTTCTAATGCTTTGACCCCTAGGTACAGTTCCTCATGTTATGACTCCCAACCATAAAATTTTATTGTTACTTCATAACTGTAATTTTGCTACTGTTATGAATTGTAATGTAAATATATAATATGTGATCTTTAAGGGGATTACAACCCACAGGTTGAGAACCACCAAATTAAAGTGTTTTTCCTTAAATCTCTGATAAGTATTTTATTGCATCTTAATGGATATGACACTTACAGAACATTCTAATTAGCAATAAGGAAAAAAATGGTCCCCTTCTCTATTTGTTTGATTGTTTTATGAAGGGCTTTTGTATGTGTATATAGAATTTCTTTTTTTTTATAGCTCCAATCAATGTTGTATTGATTTAGGCTGGTGTGTCTAAACTAAATGAAGCCAAAGCTCTTGTGGATGAGCTGAACAGAAAGGCTGGCGAGCAGAGCGTATTGCTTCGGATGAAGCAGGATGAAGCTGACGCTGCCCTTCAGGAGATCACTGTGTCCATGCAGGTGCTTGGGGGAGGGTCAGGTGCCAGTAGATAAGCAGGTAGAGGACATCTGCTTGTCAATCAGTATGAAAAATTAGACTTTTAACTTGAATTAAAAGGGATCGTTCGTCCATACTGGCTGACATTGAGCTTTAGAGAACATGCATGTCATTTTCCATGTTGTTCATCCTGATGGTGCCAAGCCTTTAGATACCTCATGCTCATGTATATTAGCCAATCAGTGTAGACCTGTGTGCAGCCGACGTTGTCTACGTTCTCCTTGCCAAACAGGTATGTCCTTTAGCTTACTCTCTCCTTCAGACTTTGACATTTCCCCCTTTTAAAACTTTCAAGGTTGATAAAATACCTTTTAAAAATCATATTTATACTTTGAAGGTATGTTCAATTTTAATTATATTTCCTAAGCATCACCTTTCTTCTGTTGAACTTTTCCCAAGAAAACTTTCGTGAGTTTGTGCCCTGTATGCTTTGTCCATTATATCACTTTACCTCGGGCATCAGAGGGCTGTGAAACTGTCTGTCCCCTCTGTGTTCTGCAGCAGAATCTCCTTTGCATGTAACTATCAAGTTACCCTTTCAGCCTGGTTTTGCTTTTGTAGAATAAGGCAGACTTGAGAACAAACTCATGATTTTCCTCTTCCGTGTTTCTGTTTTGTTGATGGTGGTAAAATAGAGCTAATATTTGTGGACAACTTATGAATCACACTAGATCTTTGTGCTATCATTCTGTCTCATCTATTCCTCAGATATAGTGTTTAATTGTCCTGGTTGTTCTGTGTTTCGTCAGCTTGACCCAAGCTAGAGTTATCTGGGGAGAGGGCCCTCAACTGAGAAAATTCCTTCATCATGCTACTGGCCAAAAATTCTTCGTTAAAAAGATTAATGTTTTTGTTGTCATGCTTTTAAACACTGAGTGTGTTGTAAGTGATTGTAATGTAATGTCATTTAACTATTCCTGCAGGATGCGAGTGAGCAAAAGACAGAACTTGAAAGACTAAAACAGAAAATAGCAGAAGAAGTTGTTAAAATTGAAGAAAGAAAAAGTAAAATTGATGATGAATTAAAAGAAGTACAAGTAAGTTCTAATGTTCCGATTAAATGTGAATATTTTCCTTTCACATACTTGCCTTGCAGTGCATTTGAGCTTAACTATCACCATGGCTCATTTGTTTCCAGCACTGTTGTCAGTGTGGTCTGTGCCCCAAGTATTAGACATGGAAGTGGCCGGAGAGCCTGCCAGGGGTGAAACACCATAGCTTTTCCTACAGTACAAATTCCTCCGGAAAAAGGAAAAGTACCTCAAAACAAATTAGACTCACTAAATTAGAATGGCGCACTCATGGTGGCAAGATATTTTACTTGATTATTGTGAGCCTTCTTTCTTGGTGTGTTTAATAAGGAAGGCAGTTAGTCATTTAGTCATATAGTCATTGGGCTCCTCCCTGATGTCTAACAGCACATCCATTGACACTTCCTGATGTTTGTCTCTTAGCCTCTCGTCAATGAAGCTAAGCTAGCAGTTGGAAACATTAGACCAGAATCTCTTTCAGAAATCCGCTCACTACGCATGCCACCAGATGTAATTCGAGACATTCTTGAAGGAGTTTTAAGGCTAATGGGTATCTTTGACACATCGTGGGTAAGCATGAAAAGGTAAGTTTTTTTTTTTTAATTTATATGAATTTTTTTTTTCCACCAGTGAACTTACTCACCTGCATGCATGGATCACAGTTATAGAGTTGTTTATCATGGCTGAGAGGGGTGGACCAGCTCACATCACCAGAGCCAGTAGGCAAACTAAACATTTCCTGTAGCTGATGTGTCCTTTTATTCTATCTGATGCTCCAGCCTGTAGGACTGTGCTGCACATGAACCCTCTGGAGAGGTGTCAGGGCCTTACTAATCTGCTCTCAAACTGACAGTCAAGATTAACTACCTCAAGTTTCAACACCTGTTGTCAGCTTGGTACCCAAACACATCTCCTTAAACCATAGCATTCTACCCCCTTGTCCCTGAAAGGCATTCATCACTAAGTACATTCTGTCCATCTTCGTGAGATCCGAGTCTTCATGGTTCTAGTATTGCTCAGGAGTCCAAAGTTTCCTCTGAGACTCTAGGCAACCTCTTATCCCATCTTAGCCTCTATTAGTTCCTGTACAATTAAGGAGCAGGCTGTATACTTTAAACAAATAGTGACACACTCTAAGCATTCTACAAGGAAGGAATTGGGGCCAAAGCAGATCTGCAAGCCAGTTTGGCAAGCATTAAATTCTCTGGCTTCATGTCCATATCTGGAACACATAGCTTAGTCATTTAAATCTCCGAGTGTTCGGGCAGTCCTAGTCCTCATTCAGCCCACATGGCCTTTCTTGGGATTAACTTCTTGCTTTCATTTTCCCATGTTTCTGCTACCTCTAACTCCCTTAGTAATCCACTTCATCTTTAGATGCACTCATTGCCCTCTCAAGGCTTACCCTTTCCATTGAAATCTTTTTACTGCCCCATAATTCTTGCATACTGGATGCCATCAAACCCTGCAATCACATGAATAATGCCAGGTTTCTACTAGCTTAAGCATTAGCTGGACCTGCTCAGATGATGTCGGCTGCTGCCTCTGAACGCCTCAATTACTGATCCCAGGGAAACATTTGTCATAGGGAGCTGTGTGAGAGCGGGTGCCCATAGCAGAGCTTTGAGGTGAGATCAAGCCTCTACAGTCTTGGGTCTGCTGATGCTTGGATCCTACCAAACTTTTTTATGCCTTGTCCCATGGTATTGTGGTGTTTTGTTTGTTGTTGTTTTCTAATAGCCCAACTCCCTTCAGCTGACTATTGATTATTAATTTATTAGATTACTAATTATATCTTTATTCTTATTTATGCATTTATTGGCTGCAGCCTTATTCTGTTTTTTTTGGGGGGGGGGGAGAAACTGCAGGATTTTAAAATCCTCTTGCTCTGCTTTTTGCTTACAACTTTCTCCTTAAGCCCAAAACAAAGCAGTTGATGATAAACTGAATTCTGGGTTATCTTGAAATTGTGTGTTCCATTTTGACTAAACTGTGACTTAAATGTTCCCTCACACAGCACCTTCTGGCCATTGTTACTGTTTGCAGTGTCCTGAGCCATCTTTCTTACCAGCTGTCTTCCTGTCTCCTAAGCTCATCCAGCAAACTCAAGCTTCACGAGCCCATCTCAGCACACTTGTCTAAATTTCCCCAGAACACTGTCCCAGAGGCTCCGCACCACATCATAAGGAGTGTTTCCAACAACAATTCCACCCTCACTGTCAATTTTTGTGCTCATTTTTTCATTTTTGACAAACTATAATGACTATGTGAAATGAATGTTCTCATCCCATTATTTTTAAGGAATTCACTCTGAACAAGTTTAGTAACTTGTCTCTATTCACTGCTAGAAAATTTTAAGCTCAGGTCTGTCTGGCTCCATATTTCATGATCTTAAAGCTACTGATCCCTGTTAGAATTGACTTGCTTTATCTAAAATCCAAACTTGATATGATCTTTTGGTTCTTTATTTTCTGAGTCAGGACATCTCTTTCCCAAGACTTCATCTTTTAAAAAAGAGACAGATTCTGACAGTGTTACACGGTCCCATCATTTTCCCAGGTCTCACTCTGTCTCTCCTGAAGCCTGGCACTGTCCTGTGATGGGTGGTATCCTGGCACCTCATAAGTCCTTTCTCTCTTAATTCGCTTTTGTCCCAGCTCCTGGAGAATAACTAAGACAGAAGCCTAGCATGAGTGTGTCGAGAACAGGAAAGACATGTGAACACTATGTTCTTCAAAAAGAAGGACATGAAACCACTTATTAATAAATACCAGGATAGGTGTGATTATCTCAAAATCTAGAAATCTTCTGCAAGTGATTATTCAAAGGAAGAGAGGAATGCCCGAGAATCTTGAAGAATGGCCATTGCTTTTAATAATTTATTTAACCCTTACATAGAAAAGCATCGTGACTTCACTATAGTTACTGATGAAGACAATGTAATCACTGTTCTGAGAGTTTAATACTTTGGGGATGGTTTAGAAAGAGCGAGGGAAGAGAGAAAACAGAGGAGAGGATGGTGAGGAGAGAGGAAGGTAAGGGAGAGACTCAGGAGAAGGGAGAAGTTAGAGTAATAGAAACTAGACAGGGCTGAGAGTTAACGGGGCACAGAGCCACTTGACTCTGTTTTTCCCGGTATATTGGTGCTGGGGTTTGTGCTGTTGAGATCTACACTGTTGATAAGGAGTCATTTTTTCTTCCGGACCTAGAAGTCAGGGTGGGGATACTGTAAGAACTTCCTTGAAGACTCTAGAGGGGTCTATACTTGTTGACATGCGGGGGGAGTCTACTGCTGTACAGTGTGGTTCTCAGACTCCATGTCTGGCTCTGGTTTATTCACTGGATGGCGGATAGACCGTCTCACACTGAAAACTTGGGTTTCTTGTTTATTTAAGCATGATAGTTATTAGCTCTGTTAAATCTTCATATCCTATTTTTGTCAGCTCATTGGTTTTAAGTACCATCCACAACACATTTATTTAAAAAGAACAATTTTTAGTTGCCCATAGTTGAATTATTGTACCTTCTTCCTAGCTTCCTTGCCAAAAGGGGTGTGAGAGAAGACATTGCAACTTTTGATGCACGGAACATCCCGAAGGAGATAAGAGAGAGTGTGGAGGAGCTTCTCTTCAGAAACAAAGCATCTTTTGATCCAAAGGTAGCTTATTTTTTATGCTGTGTCCCTGGCTTTTTACTGTGGGATGCCCTGTTATTACCATTGTCTAGATAGCCTAAGAGCTAAAATCAAGGAGAAACAAAGCTTCAGCTTTGCTGTTCTATATGGGCTTTGAATCTAGAGTTTGCTTTTTCCCACATCATCCCCAGAGTCACTTTTTTCCTCCGCTGGGTGCATCTGCAATAATGAGCATCTGTTTCCTCATACGTGTATCAAATTTCTATGACATTTAGCTAAACTTCAATGATTCTGATACTTTTTAAATTCTTTATTTAAATGTTAACTCTTCTTTGACACCAGTAATAATGCTTTCAAAATTTCTCTAATTTAATAAAAACTTATCACACGTACAAGGAAAAGGCCACATGCACTCTTTTGAAAGGAGACAGCAGTCATGTTGGTGCATGTGTGTGCTAAAAGATCAGGCGTGTTTAAGGAGACTGACTGAGTTGCAAGTAGACTTCATCAAAATTTATTTCTCTCAATAAATTTGTAACAAAATGTTGACATTAGCTTTGCATTTGTCTGATGTTGAGTTGGGTGTGGGGTAACTTGTGATGCCTTTTTCAGAATGCTAAGCGTGCCAGCACTGCAGCTGCACCTCTGGCTGCCTGGGTTAAGGCCAATGTACAGTACTCCCATGTCTTGGAACGGATCCAGCCCCTGGAGACAGAGCAGTCAGGATTAGAGTCGTAAGTATGGATGGTCTGGCCTGCATTGCTGTCAGTTTGATGCACGTATTATATTGTTTGTATTTATTTTGGTTCTGGTGTTTGTTTTGCTTTTACTTTGAAATGACAGCTGACAGAGTAAGCTTTCAGATGAGTGGGTGAAATCCCAAGGTAAGAAAAAATTGAGCAGATCCAAAGAGCAGCCAACTTGAGGATGGGCAGCAGAAGCCCCTGGCTTCTCCTGTGTCCATGTGTCTATGAACAGGTGGGAGTCTCTTCCAAAGAATCAAAGTAGGAAAAGAATGGCTGAACATGTAGAACTTGTGTAATGTCACTTTGACATTGAAGTTCTGGGAAATATTTAAGATATATTTCCCGAAACAGCATTTGAGCAGGTAGGAAGAATATTCAACTACTTAACTTTGGAGACTGGAAATACAGTTTGCTATTATATTATTAATTCTAAATGCAGACCAAGATGTTTGTTGAATGTGTCATTAACTTTTGACATTACCTGTGAACCCATTGTAGAGAAAAAAAAAACTTTATTTTTTTCATTATTATATGAAAATTTTGAACTAAATCATTTTTTTATTTTTTTTGTCATTTTTGAGGGAGGCGATGAAATTTATTTTATTTTTTTAAGGTATAAAATTTATAAGATTTACATATACATATTCTTTTTTAGCATATTATTTTTTAAATTTTTTTCTTATTTATTTATTAAAGAGTTTTGTCTCCCCGCCACTGCCTCCCATTTCCCCCCCCCCATCAAGTCCCCCTCCCCCGATCAAGTCCCCCTCCTCATCAGCTCAAAGAGCAATCAGGGTTCCCTATCCTGTGGGAAGTCTGAGGACCCCCCCCACCTCAATCCAGGACTAGTAAGGTGAGCATCCAAACTGCCTAGGCTCTCACAAAGCCAGTACATGCAGTAGGATCAAAAACCCATTGCCATTGTTCTTGAGGTCTCAGTAGTCCTCATTGTTTGCTCTGTTCAGCGAGTCCGGTTTTATCCCAGGCTTTTTCAGATCCAGGCCAGCTGGCCTTGGTGAGTTCCCGATAGAACATCCCCATTGTCTCAGTGTGTGGGTGCACCCCTCGCGGTCCTGAGTTCCTTGCTTGTGCTCTCTCTCCTTCTGCTCCTGATTTGGACCTTGGGGTTGTAGTCTGGTGCTCCATTGTGGGTCTCTGTCTCAGTCTCCTTTCATCGCCTGCTGAAGATGAATATTCAGGAGGATGCCTATATGTTTTTCTTTGGGTTCTCCTTCTTATTTAGCTTCTCTAAGATCACGAATTATAGGCTCAATGCCCTTTATTTATGGCTAGAAACCAAATATGAGTGAGTACATTCCATGTTCCTCTTTTTGGGTCTGGCTTACCTCACTCAGGATGGTGTTTTCTATTTCCATCCATTTGCCTGCAAACTTCAAGAAGTCCTTGTTTTTTACTGCTGAGTAGTACTCTAATATGTATATATTCCATACTTTCTTCATCCATTCTTCTGTTGATGGGCATCTAGGTTGTTTCCAGGTTCTGGCTATTACAAACAATGCTGCTGTGAACATAGTAGAGCATATATTTTTGTTGTATGATAGGGCATCTCTTGGGTATATTCCCAAGAGTGGTATTGCTGGGTCCATGGATAGGTTGATCCCAAATTTCCTGAGAAACCGCCACACTGCTTTCCAGAGTGGTTGCATAAGTTTGCATTCCCACCAGCAATGGATGAGTGTACCCCTTTCTCCACAACCTCTCCAGCAAAGGCTATCAATGGTGTTTTTTATTTTAGCCTTTTTTTATTATTTTGACAATGAAAATATTTTGTTAGTTGAGACACATGTCTTATGAGTTTATCTGTCTTGCACATCTTTTCCTCCCCCCCCTTTTTTTACTAACTGTAGGCTGAACCCCAAATCTTGGACTTTGTGAAGAGAAACTGCACAGCTGTGCTCCATCCCTCTCTGAGCTGCTCCCATCCTTGTTGTGCGATTGTCCCCACTCTGTCAGTGGTTGTCCTTTCCGCTCACATGCTGTGGGTGTATCTGCCACTGTCAGCACAAACCTGAAAGCATAGTCGATGATCTTAGTGTTCTTCTTCTTCTTCTTGGATTAGTCCTCTAGACTCCTGCTTAAAGCTTGTATCTTGGAACTTATTGTCATCATTGTTCTGGGCAATTCCTCTGTATCTTTTGTTTATATTTTATTATAAACAAACTTATTTATTATAAATTTATATTTATTACTATAAAATTTTTAGTTCCTTGTTTTCCTAGAATATATCTTTCATTTCCTATGAAAATGTACATGAGACACGTTTATTCTTTTATCATATATGTGCAGCATCAGAGTGGTTTGTATATAGTGATTTGGATGGGCTCATTTCTTCATGTGACTTGTGGCAGAGCTTCAGCATTGACTTGGTTTCTGTTAAACGTGCAGAGTGAGGTATGCTTGTGGCGGACGAAACCTGGTTGTCTGTTTTAACTGATCTCAGTGCAACCGTACTTCTGATGGGGCAGAACATGATTTCCCGATCGGAACCCCATTTCTGCTGGCTTCCAGGGTGCAGCTTTGCTCTTGAAAAAAGATGTTCCCCATCCTTTCTATGTTACCCTGTATTTCCCCTCTTTGAAAGTTTTTAGGGACCTGTTTCTGGTGGACATATAGCTAGTGCACCTGTTAGTCCTGAGGTGTTTGTTATTCCTTCAATAGTTCCTTCTGTCCCTGTCACCGTACAGTGGGGCATACAGGGCTGCAGGTCCGTGAAACCATCACTCAGGAAACTGCAGTACACTTACTATCAGCAAGTCCCAAAGGAGCTTGGTTCTGGGGGTTGTTATGTTTTTTCAGGAAGTTCTTGCCTCTGTTCTTATTTGCAAATGAACTGCCCATTTCACAGGTACAGTTTTCAATTCTTGCTTCAGTTCAAGACAGGATGGTGTTTTTGGAATTATAAATTTTTACGTTGTGCTTCTTTTAAGGACAAGGAGATCCTTTTATGAGGACCCTTAGATATGCTGTCCACCTCTGCTTTCCTTTTCCTGACATGTTTTCCTGACATGTTTCCTGACGTCTTCTGTGGGGAGCCTTGGTCCAGGGATTCAGCAGTCAGTGCACATAGCACATCTGCCTGCCATCCACACCTGTGTTCTGGTTTCTCACAGTGTTTCCCATGCTACACTGTTCTGTTTGTATCTCCAGTGCCCAGTTAGTCTCTTCCAACTTTTCATTTTTTCCTCTAACATTCTTTCTATCCTCTTGAGGATGTTCTTTTTCTTTTTCTTTTCTTCCTAGCCTTCAGTCCTTCCTCCTGTAATCATGTGTTCATTTGCTTTCTTTGGTTCTGGTTAGGAAGCATTCTTGGCATGCCCAGTCCTTGACTTTGAGTAATGAATGTACAATCATAGACATTAGAGTGTGTAGTTTGCGTACCCCCACTTCTGGTGTGAGGATTAAGTGTTCAGGTGCAGCTTGGCTGGGCAATGACCACTTTTCAGCATGGGGTACCTATTAGAGTGAGAGTAGTATTGACTTTTCCCGTAAACAAGTGTCTTGTCTTATAAATATATGGTGTCAGTGGGGCTAGGTAGAGTTGGGTGGATTATCAGCTAGATGTGTTGACTTTTGGGTTGGCTTAAAAGTCTGCTTTTCGTGGTGGAATGTAATTGAGATTCAGCCTCCAGTGCATCTTACAGCTTTTAGACACATTTGTGTCTCCAGCTTTTTGGTTCCTTTTGAGACAGTTGCTGCTTACCTTCTCTGAGCAGTTTGGAGTTCTACTTATTTTACCATTCCTTCTTGCAGGCATCTCAATTTTGCTTTTTATTCTGACCTATCAGTCTTTATTTTCCAAATTTTATTGAAAGTTTGGCTGTGCCACACATTTGAATTCTCTTTATTATAGATCAGGGTGTGTGCATGTTTTCATTGGTATCATTGTATATAGTTCTAAAAGATGGTAGATGAACATGTTTACTCTTCTTCTTCTTCTTCTTCTTCTTCTTCTTCTTCTTCTTCTTCTTCTTCTTCTTCTTCTTCTTCTTCTTCTTTTTCTTCACAAGTTTCAAGAAGCAATACGAGTTACATCAAAAGATTCACTTTTAATTTTAGCATTGTTTTATTTATCTATGCATAAGTATCATAACACAGCACTGTGGTGGTTCTGTCACATTTGCTAGGATATCACTCCTTAAACTGCTACTTTAACACTGAAATCTAAAACAGAATGGTGTCTAACGTTGAATCCTACTTTAGGAATTTGAAGAAAACTGAAGACAGAAAAAGAAAGCTAGAAGATCTTCTTAACTCTGTTGGTCAAAAAGTGTCAGAACTCAAAGAAAAGTAAGTCCAGTGTGGAGGAATTTTGGCATGTCTCAGCTCATTTGGAAGGTTTCACATCTGGTTGTGCCCATTCTTTTTTCCTCCTCCTGAGTCACTCTCCAGTTGCAATAGGGAGAGAGTAGTTGACAAAGTGTTCTTACTTAACTACGTGATTGCTCATGTCTGTGGTACCAGTACTTGGGGCATGAACAAAGTGCATTCTTGGCTACATGGCTAGTTATAGGGCAACCTGGACTACACAAGACTCTGCCTGAAAAAAAAAATGAGCAGCCCGAATAAATACTAGTAATACTTTTCTACAGGTTATGTGTTTCTCCTTGTGGTACTAGGGGTCAAAATCAGGGCCTTGTGCATGCTAAGGAAAACTGCTAAGTTTATAAAAATCATAAAAATTTGTCTTAGAAATTTCCTTTTTGTCCAAGGAATGTGGAGAAGTGGTTGTAGAAGACATCCCAGCATGGACCTCTGGCCTCCACATGTTCCTGCACAGATGAACATACCTGCACAGTGCACACATGCACATATCACACACACATGCATATACAGAATACACAAAACACTGTTAAAATCTGGCAGGTAGACACTGTGTGAGAGATGATATACAATGGACCAGATATTTTGTTTCAGCAGGTAGATATTTGAGAGGATTAGGCCAGGAAGATGAGAGGAAGAGAGTAAGAATGTGCTCAAGGAAAATTTAAAGATAGAATATTTTATCATTGTGTAAAAAGTTCACATGGTAGCTGATAGGTTTGTACAACTAGAATAGGAAGAAAAGCTTAGGATCAAGACCTTGAGTAAACACTGGGAAATGTGTATAGAATGTTGCCTGCAGGGCCTGTGTCCCAGTCCTTGAGTACAGGCTGATGTACTGATTGGTGCAAAGAAGTGTCCCTAGGGCTTTCTTTGGGTATATTCTGCTACTGAGTGCTACTCTAGCAAGAATGAAAGACTTTAAGTGTGTATGTTTGTATACTTGTCTTACTAATGGTATTTCAGACACACATATAATCAGTATGTTCCAAGGATAACTTTTTTGTTCCTAATTGTATGTTAATGTTTTCTTAGATTTCAGAGCAGGACTTCAGAAGCTGCCAAACTTGAAGCTGAAGTCAGCAAGGCACAGGAGACCATCAAAGCTGCGGAAGTCCTGATTAGTCAGCTCGACAGAGAACACAGGAGATGGAACGCACAGGTTTGTCTAGGAGAAGAGCCACAAACACAGGAAACCTTGGTGTAATGAATGTATTTTCTTTTTTTCTAAATAAGAAGACCAGAACAAATATCCCCTAGTTTATAGCTGGTCTTTGACAAATAACCCTGAAGTGAATGATGAGTCAAAGTGTCTTTCTATGAATATACTTTAGGAAAATCACTGTTGGCTTTGGCTTGCCCACCTTGTTGATGAGAAGGGCAGGGAGGGCAATGATCTGTAGTGAGCTGCAGGCAGGCCTATTTTTTTCGTCCTGCCCGGCTCCCGCATGGTTAGCTTTACACCCGAAATAACAACACACAAACTGTATTCATTTAAACACTGCCTGGCCCATTATATCTAGCCTCTTCCTGGTTAATTCTCACATCTTGCTTAACCCATTTCTAATAATCTGGGTAGCACCACAAAGTGGTGGCTTACTGGGAAAGATTCAGCATGTCTGACCTGCTTCCATCTTGGATCGGAGCTTCATCGCATCTGGCTCAGAGAGGAGAGGCATGGCGATTGCCTCACTTCCTCCCAGCATTCTGTTCTGTGTACTCCACCTACCTAATTTTCTGTTCTATCAAGGGCCAATGCAGTTTTTTTATTAACCAATGAAATCAACTCAAAACAGAAGACCCTCCCACATCAATGATCTGAGGGAACTTTGCCACAGCAATAAGGTTAATATTCAGCACTGTTCACCAATTGTTTTTATTGATATGTTCCATGATTTCAACTTTGGCAACTTTCTGTTTAAAGTTATTTTTAATTTAATTGTGTATGGTGGAGTACATGCATCCAAGAAAACATGTTTATAGAAATATCTTGTGTCTCAAACTTTTAAAAACTTTGAATTCTTACTGATCCTTTGAAATTTTGGAGTTGTTAAGGTGTTACTACTTAAATGAGTGCTGGGTTATTTCCTAACTGGAGCTGTCTTCTGAGGGAGTGCCCCACATGTACTGTTTTCCAGGTTTCTGAGATATCGGAAGAGTTAGCTACCCTCCCCAAAAGAGCTCAGCTGGCAGCTGCATTCATAACCTACCTCTCTGCTGCTCCGGAAGGCCTCAGGAAGAACTGTCTGGAAGAATGGACTAAGGCAGCTGGTTTAGAGAGTTTGTATTGAATTATTATGAGCTTTAAATTTCAGTGTGACAAAAATGGCCCTCCACTTCTGTTCCCTTTACTTCTCTTATTTTTTTTTTAACCTGTATGTCACCAGGGATAATATGACTACTTCAGATTTGTTTTTGTAAATTATTTAAATTACTATAAGTTTTCTACTCCTACATCCATATGAGACACAGGCCTCCCTCTGAATTATTTTTAATTTTGCACAATGATAGTCAAGTATGTTATTTATTAGCATTACTATCACATGCCAAGGTAAAATGGGAGGCTCTAACTTTTCTTGTGAATTTTGTGGTTTTTACAGCTTATTGTGACTGAAACATTCATTTGCTCATTCATGAATGCTGTTTATTTTCACTTTTTGCAAAGCTTTTTCCGGGGTTTATGTTTTAATGCACAGGAATGGGCATGAAGCCAATGCATGCCACAGCCTCCTGTGCTGGTCTGTCTGTCAGGTGCTGGTTGCTATGGTGCCAGTCTGTCTGTCTGGTGTTGGTCGCTATGGTGCCAGTCCATCTGTCAGGTCCTGGTTGCTATGATACCAGTCTGCCTCTCAGGTCCTGGTTGCTATGGTACTGGTCTGTCTGTCAGGTCCTGGTTGCTATGATACAGGTCTGCCTGTCAGGTCCTGGTTGCTATGGTACCGGTCTGTCTGTCAGGCACTGGTTGCTATAGTGACTGCTTGATGCTTTTAATTTTCAGAATTTGATCTAAGGAGATTTCTTTGTACTGAAAGTGAGCAGTTGATCTGGAAAAGTGAAGGCCTTCCATCTGATGACCTCTCTGTAGAGAATGCCATTGTGATCCTACAGGTAAGATAGTCTCAGGTATTATGCTGAAAATTGTCTACCCTGTAGTGTAAACATGCTGTAACTCTGAAGCTATTCTTTCTTTAGTTCAATAAAATGGCAAAAAATTGACAATTAAAGTTGATTATCTAGTGTTCAATGAAATTTATTTTCAATTAAATAGAAAAGTGTAAGCTAAGATGGCCTTTTATGATGATAAAATACTTAAAATTGAACTTTGTAGTAATCATAGTTATATTGTAGGGTACCCTGAATTATCTCATACTCCATTTTCTTTCATAAATTTTGTATTTCAATTTAATTTAATTTACCAAACAAAATTCTTCAATGAGAAAAACAGTTTTGGGTTACAAGTTAGAAATGAACATCTGTACATTTTGGAAAATTCTTCATGTCATGTGTTTTCCTACAGTTGAAAATACTTTCTTGGCAGTGAATATGAAAGCCCACTGAGAGCCATGGTTGCAAACATCACAGACTAGAATATAGTACATTGTTCAGTGGCGGCTTCTATACTCTGCACTCAGTCCATTCTGCTTCCTCTTCCCCTCAGTGTCTTTCTCTCACCGCCATCACCGTCATGGCCTCACTGTCTTCTCACAGTTATGCCCTTTTGTTTTGCTTCATGACTCAATCACAAACTTTAAATGAAGTTTGGTTTTATCATTAAGTTGGTGAACCTTTCACATTTTCTACATTTGCTTATTGCATGTGTGCGCATTCATGCATGAAGCTTGACGACGTTGTGCAGGTCTTCTGTGTGGTCAGGCTTGGGGCCAGTGCCATCATCTGAACTGTCCTTGCGGCCTCTGTGAAGTGTGTGCTAACTTTCTTCCTAAGTGAAAGGATTAATGTCCTGTCTGAACAGATAACATTTTGTACATCATTATTTTCTCTCTCTTTCCTCTCTCTAATCTTTTCCTGAACATTGTTCTCATTATTATCTTACCACCCTCAACTGTGTGTGCCTGTGTGCATTAAATGGTCCTCCTTTTGTCCTATTTATTTCTTTAATTTGTTTTGTTTTATTATATCTATTAATTACCTGTCCGTACTTTAGTCTAGGTGTGTTGCCTGGAAGAAGTCACTGCCTACAAATTGAATGGTTTATTAGTATAAATTGATTTTACTGTTTTTTGATTTGTTTTCTGAACAGTTTTTATCTTCTTCTGCACTGACATAGACATCTGGAGTCTCAATTGCTTTTGCAGATAACATGCTGTGTGAGGGTGTCACCTGTGTTCTGTGTATCTCTATCATGCTTGTCATACTTACTGATTCTTCCTTCAAGGTTTTGGACTCATATTCCTTCTGCTCATTTCAGTTATCAAAGAAAGTCATAATTTGCAAGTGTTGATAAGTCTGACATAGTGGTACAGTCATGCTATCCTAGCCTGAGAGGCTAATGCAGGAGGATTTTGGGGAGTTCAAGGTCATCATAGGTTGCATATACATAGTGAGATGATATCACAAAACCTCAGAGCAAAACGAACCACAAACAATTCCCCCAAGAGCTATGATATTTTAAGAATTATTTCCTAAGAATGAATGATGGGGAAGGTTACCTCTAGAAAATATGTTTATGAGAAAATATATGTATATATTGATAATAACAAAAAGACAACTTTGTCTTCAGAATTGGGTTTCATAATCAATATCGAACTTGCCTGTGAATTTAACTTTAATAATAACCTTATATTAAATTTCATTTAATAGTGACAAGTTTTTTGAACTTCTAATTCATCCTCACTGTCCACCCCAAAAACTTACTTGAAAAATAGATTAATTTGCAATTATAGTCTACGTTGTATCCCAAATCTAAGATATGCTAGGTCTGAAATATGTTATAGTTAAATGTGTGATTGGGAAGCACATGCTTAATAACATGTATGAACATACTAGGTAACATTTATAAAATGAATTTGCTAACGATAGGACTTGCTACGTAGCTGAGGGTGACCTCGAACTTCTGATGTTTCTGAGTCCACTTCACAAAGCCCAGTATGTATAGGCTCATGTCAGCACACCAGCTCCCTCTGTCTTAAGGAGTGGATGGAAAGATTTGATCACAGACAGCTTGCCTCTATCTTTCGTGAACATTGGCTTTTACTAATTTCATGTTGACCAATTTCAGTTTTTTTCCATGTTAAAAATGTATCCCTCTCAAAAAAAAAAAATGTATCCCTCTCTCCTCTGCCCACTCACCAGCCTGTTACTCTTCTAAAAGGATTCAGATGAGCCTCTTGTTTCGCATTTCTGTGCAGTGAATGTGATGCATCAGATACCCTAAGCGCAGCGCGCAGGGTAGGACAGGCTGCTCTCCATTATAAGCTCTCTCTTGCCCTCTGCATGCTCATGGCCTGTTTCTCTTACTTTTCTCTGGAAGGTAGCGTGATCTTAGCTCAGTAATTTAGGCCCAGACCTGTGACTTGTTGCTACTAAATGCATTTCTCAGATGTCTTCAGAACCATCATGTTTACTGACATTCACTTCTGTGGCTTCATTTTGTACCAAGAGAAATGGCTGTACCATCATTTCTCTTTGCACCCCCCCCCCCCCGTGTTGCTTATTTCCTTTCCTTGGAGTGATGTTCCTGGAGTGTCAGTCTGCTCACCACAGTGTCCCTCGGTGTATGTAACAAGTGTGCTGGAGTTGTCCCAGTGCTCCAACCTCTGTAGCCACGTTTCCATCGTGGGATTAGCTCCTTTACCTGGATAAACTTTCTTGGCTTAGTTTGACCTGGCTTTTCCTACTCCAAGTCCGTGTGTCCCTGTGTATCTTGTGTACTTCCTCATCATGCAGTTTTCATTTTTGCTTCTTAACTGGACGTGAAGTCATTGAAGGTAAGGAAATTCGTCTTCCTCATTTCTGGACTCTTTGTCTGTATTGGTTGTCACCTAGCACTATAGGTGAACAAATGAAGGAATGGAAGCTCATGATTTTTTATTTGTAACATTGTGCTCGGTGTAATTTTAACTGGATTTTTATCATGGAACACAGAGATAAAATGTACCTTAGAGAGTTTGTCTAAAGTTCTGTGAAGAAGTATATATAAGCTGAAAACTGACTTGTAAGTTGGTATAGATTTGTTACACATACTTTGCTAAAATGAGACACTTAAAAATAAACCTCTTTTTTTTTTCCTGACTGCATCAGATCATTGGTTTAAAATCATGGGTAAGAAATCTTTTAATTTTAAAAGTAATGATGTTGAGGGTGTGACAAAATCTGCTAGAACTGAAATGTTCATTACTGAATGTTAGCAGGAAGCCAGATTCACACACACAGTAACACTGAAGAGGCCATTTGCTAGCCAAGTCCTTTTGCCAGGGGTCGGGCCTTCTTCATACAGTGGAGCATAGAGGCCACTGTAAGCCTGGTGAGGAGCACACAGTGGGTGGGCTTGTGTGAGGAAGCGCAGTGGGAGGAGCTCTGTGTCTCAGAGCAGCTGTTGGAAAGTCCGAACTCTGTTGCTGATGGAAACTGTTTTGGGGAGTTGTTCGTTCCTGCTAACGCCTTCCTCTGACGTACCACGGAAGTTCCTGATATGTTCTGGGGGGCACAGCCGAAGTCTCTGCGTTACACCGACTGTCATGTGTGTTCTTTTATCACTATAGCAAATGTGTTGTTCTTTAAGTGAGAAAATTTCAGAAAAATTGATTTGTTGTTTAAAACCATTTACTAGGGCTGGAGAGATGGCTCAGTGGTTAAGAGCACTGACTGCTCTACCAGAGGTCCTGAGTTCAATTCCTAGCAACCACATGGTGGCTCACAGCTATCTATAATGAGACTTGGTGCCCCCTTCTGGCATGTGGGCACACATGGAAAGAATGCTGCACACATAACAAATAAATAAATAAATAAATAAATAAATCTTAAAAAAAATAAAACCATTTACTAGATAATGATTATTTAAAACTATCATATAGATAGTGCTGGAGAGATGACTCAGTGGTTATAGCACTGACTGCTTTTCCAGAAAACCTGGTTCAATTCCCAGTGAGCTACAGGTGGCTCACAGCTCTCTCTCTAACTTTAGTTCTAGGGGACCTGGCACCCTCACCCAGGCATACATGAGGCAAAACATTAATGTACGTAACATAAAAATAAACAAAAATATCACCTAGGCAATGTGCATTTTCTGTTTGTATGGAGGGCAGCGTCAGTGCTTAGAGCTCTACCAGTGTGAGACAGACAGTCTGTGGAAAGGAGTTCCTATTTCTCTCGACCCTGATGGATGGATTGCCTGTCAGTGTCCCTCTCAGGAAGTCTGCGGAGTATGCTCACTTTATAGTAGTTAGATTTAATTGTTTATCACTCGATCCTAGTAGTTTATCTAAGTGCTTTTTGGTACATTTACAAGCCACACCGTCTCTTCCACTTTGTGCTTGATAGAGTTGTGTTCTACAAAGACACAGAAAAGCTAATTTTGCAATGGGCTGACAAGTTTTAGGAACTTATTTTTATTTAAATAAAACTTCACCATTATTTAAAAAGGTTTTTCCCCCCTAGAGTCGTGTGTGCCCATTCCTGATAGATCCGTCTTCACAGGCGACAGAGTGGTTAAAGACACATCTGCAGGACTCACGCTTGGAAGTTATTAACCAACAGGTATGCACCACTTATAACCTAGGTCCTGACTGCAGATGAACCAGCAGTGAATCCAGCTCAGGGCTGCAGCAAGAAGACACGTGCAGACTGAGCTGCTCGCGGTGTTGCTCTGGGAATCTGGGCCGCAGGTCTGTCACTTCCAGCAAAGCCGCAAGCACATTGTTTTTGTGCTAGTGACTCATCTGAGCCCTGGGAGTTCCAGAGTGAGTGGAGGAGGCACAGCTCCTCCTCCTCCAAGGAGCTAAGGAGACAAACCTTTACACTGTGCTCCAGTTAGTGTCAAGTGAACTGTAGTTGTAGTGCTTTGGCAGTGACCCTCACTGCCCAATTTGCCTGACTAAGGAAATTATTGTGGTCTTAATCAAGTTTGTAAGGATCAACATTTGATTAGGTTTTATAGATACTCTTAAGGTATTTGAAAAATTATTTCCAAATTTCACATTCCCTATAAAAGTTTTTATCTCATTTGTATGTGGTAATATAGCTGGAAATTAAGTGATGTATAATATATAGACATTTGTTATGTACCAGTTGGGATAATTCTTGAGAAATGCATTCTTAGGAAATTCTCCAGTATGAACATTGAATACATCCCCGTATCTGACATTGTAGCTTGCCATGCGCCTGGCATATTACAACCTCTGGCTTTCAGGCCAGAGGCCTGTGCAGCAGGTTATTGGTGGCACTATACCAGGATAGTAGCAGTGCATGATGTTATTTAACTCATCTAAACAAAGACTGGGTACAGAAAAGCATAAATGATAAAAAATAAATATATAAGGGCAGGTTGTGTAGAGGGAGAAACCAGCAGCACTGGAGGGCATCATCGGTGAGGTAGTACATATCTGGATGTTGTGACAGTCCAGGAACTTCCAGGCATGCCCAACTTGCAGCTAGCTTTTTTTTTTTTTTTTTTTTTTTTTAAGTAAGTAGAAAGAAAACATTGGTTAAATATTGATAAAATACAGCCAGGTGCACAGGTGCATCCTCAAGCATCAGGTCTGCACACCGTCAGTGTGGTGTACTTACAGGCAGCTAGCAGTCATACGGATACACTCCAGAGTCACCACAACTGACACCCATGATATCACCATGTCACATTAGGGGAAGTGTGACTCTGGTCATCTTGTGGGGTCTGCTGTTGACTGAGTCGTGGGCAGTGTATCATTCTCCTCTGCTTTCACTTAGGAGATTTTTCATTTGTTTTCCTTCCACGTGGAGGCTTGGAATAATATTTAAAACTTGGCTTTTGCTAGACAGAAAGCCTAAAAATTCCTGATCCTAATATTCCTTTCACAATATTAATCCTTGCTTATAAAGACAATTTTACAGGAATTTTTCATCTTGTTTTTTTAAACTTGGAACACAGTGAAGTGGTTTCTTTGAATACATGGACATTTATTGCAGATAGAGATTGGAATTTTATTTTTGTAACAACTTGTAAGTATAGTGTAAACTTGATGGGAGCTTTTGTATCGTGGCGGACATGAACGTTTGCCATTCAGTTGGCACACACTTGCTTATAGGTATACAGGATGAGAATGCTCTAAAGATCTGCTCTCCAAATCATATTTATGATTAGCAGTAATATAGTAGACACTTAGAATTTAATAGGGAAGGAAGAGCTTGTGTTGGTTGGATTTTTTGTCACAATAATTTTAAAGCTTTATTTTTCTTATGTGTACTTCTGTTGGTATCTTCATTCATTGTTTATAAGATCATTTGTAAGCATTAAGAGAAAGAACTAGTATGTGCTTTCCTTTATTACCACAGGACAGTAACTTTATCACAGATCTCGAGTTGGCAGTGCGTTTTGGGAAAACCCTCATTATACAAGAGATGGATGGGGTGGAGCCTGTTCTTTATCCACTGTTGAGACGAGATCTGGTTGCTCAAGGTAAATGTTTGAGTTTCTTGAGTACCAATTTTTAAAACCAGGAACAAGCTTACAAAAGTCCCTTCTGGTGCAGCCACATAAGAAATACTTAATTGTCCCACAATGCAGTGTGGGGCAAAGTTCACACGGATTTTCCGTTGTCATTGCAAGTTGTGACAGTGTATGTAATTGTTGTCCTTGGGGATGCTCACTAGAGACTCAGGACTTTTCACTCAGGGTAGCTGTTTACGCATGCACTTTCTGAAAAGAAAGCACATGCTTAGCACACCCATGACATGTGCAAACAGTTTGAGCACAGCTAGCCACTCTTACCAGTTCTGAGAACTGTGAGAATTTTTCTGAAGCCCTAGTCCCAGATGCTGCTTATAGACTGACTACTTTTGCAAGCAAGCTTTTTTTAAAAAAATATTTTTTTATGGTTTATTTAACTTTTATTTTATGTGCATTGGTGTGACGGTGTCAGATCCCCTGCAACTGGATCTTCAGACTGTTGTGAGCTGCCATGTGGATGCTGGGAATTGAACCCGGTTCCATCTGAGCCATCTCTCCAGCCCCTGCAAGCAAGCTTTTTTTTTTTTGAAGATATCTGCACTTCTTCATGAACACCTCGTATGGCTTTACGGAAATGCTTATGAGGTCCTTCCATGCCCTGACATTATATGAGATAAACATGTGACTTTTCTGGGCATAGCTAACAGTGAGTCAACGCTGGGACTCCCAATTTTTTAGTTGCTCATACTTTATTCACAGGACTTCCTGTGGCATAGATGCCTTTGAATTTCCCATGTTCTTGTAATTTCCTAATAAACTCTCGGCTCATCATTCTGGATTTAGATGGAATCATCTTTTTGCCTCAGGAAGCATTTTTCAGGTTTAGCTATGTCAAATAATTCTGTATGCATTACGTTTGGTTAATTTTCATAAGTATTTCATGTACTGTAGGCGGAGTCTGCTTGTTTGCTCCCAGCCACCCAGACACGAAATAAACACACGGAAACTGTATTAATTAAAACACTACTTGGCCTATTAGCTTACGCATATTTCTAGCTAGCTCTTCTATCTTAAATTAGCCCATTTCTGTTAATCTGTGTATTGCCACATGGTTTGGTCTACCAGTAAGGTTCCATCTAAAATCCAGAATCTGTCTCTTTAGGTGGCTACATGGCTTCTCTGATTCCGCCTGCTCACTCTTCCTCTATCTGCTTGGAATTCCTGCCTTGCCCTATTCTGTACCGCAATAGGCCCAAAGTGACTTATTTATTAACCAATGTTATTCATAGCATACAGAGGGGAATCATACATCAATGTATCATTGAAATTTGTGCAAATTTTGTTCTTTGCAAGTTTAATTTTCTTTGAAGATTAATTGTCATATTTTTTGTATGATGTTATTTTTTATCACTTTAGTTTGTTGAATCTTGTTAAGAAAAATATCTGAAAGTCAGTTTTGAATTTGTCTCTTTGTTTTGGTCTTGTGATTTTTGTTTGTTAAAGTATACCCTGAATCCTTGTCATTATGAAATACTCTGTAACTCTAGAAGTCTTTCAAGTTTAATAGTTTATGATGCTACAGTACTATTCTATAGTTTATGGGTGACTTGTGTTGAGTCAGTGTTTCCATTGCTGTGACGCATGCTTATAAAAATCAACTTAAACAAGGAAAGATTTTTTTTGACTCATGGTTTAGAGATTCCAGGCCACCTTAGGATGCATTGTTCTGGGTTTATGGGGAGGCATTGTATCTTGGAAGGGGCGCTGGAGCAGAGTAGCAACTGTAATGGTGGTCGGGAAGCAGAGCAGTCAAGTGATGGGGTCGGGAAACAGAGCAGTCACATGAGAGTAATTATAAACAGATGGATGTGTTAACATGTCGTTTTACCATCCATACCTTAAAATGTCAAGGAATTACTTTGCTTTAAATGTACATAAAAAGAACAGAGAGGTAGATGCCATGTGAACAGCAGTGTGATAGTAGATCTTCACTATCAATTAGACTGAGAGATTTCCTAGAGACAGTAAAGCAAACCTAGGTGACACGGACGGATTTCCAGAGAAGGCAGATGAGGACACCAGTGTGATCAACGGTTTAGTTCAGTCTAACAGTGAACAGAGCTGTGTGACTAGACTGTGGGAGAGGAGGAAAACTGGAGAGTGGGATCCAGCCTTCTATAGTTACTCTCTTTCGTGTGACAAGAACAGCTAAATGACTTCAGAATTTCAAATATGATACAGTCGTATTCATTACATTCCTCATATCCTATATTGGCCTTCTAGATTGTTCTACATTGGCTTTCTAATCTTACTCATCTCACATGTATCTACTACTTTGTATACTTTAGTTACATCTCACCACAGGTGAGTTTGCACAATAATTTCCATGTTTTGTCTGGCTCATTTCCTTTATTTAATGCCCTCTAAGCTCACTCATGCATTAGCAAGTGATCAAACAGCACTCTATATGTTTATATACTGTGTCTGCAGTATGCTCGTCTGCTGATGGACTCTTGAAGGTTTTTCTTCTTGGCTACAATAGTAATGGTGTGGTGAATGTTTGAGGCTGCAAATCTTGTTTGGAAATGATGTATCCTAATCAGCTTTTTGTAATATCCAAGTAAGAGACGAGTCCTTCGGAGCATTATGTCCCCAGTGACCTACTTCCTCTAAATAGTTTTTATCTGTGGTTCCTGCCTTCCACTAAAGCTTCCAAGTCAGGAAGCCATCCCTGGAGAAATCCCTGATTCCATCAGACTTTGATTCAGTCACTTCCCTGCCGCCCACTCGCTGATAATCAGGATTTTCACGTGTCTGTAGACATTCAGAGTCAAACCATCACACGCTGGTTTTGGTTGTGGGTGTATACATCGGAGAGGGATTCCTGGTCATTGTAGGGTGCTAGTTTTAATTTCTTCAGGAACTTCTATGAGGCTTTTTGTAATAGGACACCACTCTTCATTCAGCTACTGGTTCTTTTTTTGTGCCTGTTTTCCCATAGTAGCCATCCACACAGAGGTGAGGCAGCACAGAAGCTTGCCTTTGCGTTTACCTGGTGATGAGCAATGCTGAGCCTATTTCATTCTTTGCTGGCCATTGTAATTTCTTCTTTGGAGAAATGTTATTTCGATCCTATTCTATTTTTAATTGTGTTACTTGCTTTTATGCTATTTATAATACTTTATAAATTTTGGATGTTGTCTTTAAAATAGTTTGCAAATATTTCCCCCCAGTCTCTATGTCATCTTTTTATTTTGTGGATAATGCATGTCTTTGTAACTACTCAAATTTTTATATTCCTAGATTTTTATTTTATATCTAAAGTACTAGTACAATAAGTACCTTTTAACTAAACAATTTAGAAATTGGGAATAATATGTGATTACTTTTGACATATATAAACAACTCTTTCAGAAAAAATTGGAATATGAGCATACAGCCAATATTAAAACAATACCCATTATAAGTAGGTATCCTATTGTTACTTCTTTATCCCAGGATTATCTTGATCTTATTTGACTGTAAATGCTAAAGTTGAACATTTAGCAGGAACTCAAGGAAGAGTGAAATCCACAAGGAAAGAGCATGTCTTGTCTGTGTGTATGGTTTAAGCACAAAGCCTGTTTTTCAGTAAAATGTAGTTTCTGAATGTTAATGAATTTGTCATAGTTGTCTTTGAATGTCAGGGAAACTCACTGCCATATAGTTTTTTTTTTTTAGTCTATATGCAAAATATTCTTGCAAACAGTTTTTTAAAACTTTCACAGGAGGTTCATAGACTATACAGAAGTTTCAGGACAACTAATTGTGTTTGTATGTGTGTTTTTGATAGGTCCACGGTATGTGGTACAAATAGGTGACAAAATCATTGACTACAATGAAGATTTCCGCCTTTTCTTGTCAACAAGAAATCCAAATCCCTTCATCCCACCTGATGCCGCGTCCATCGTGACTGAGGTGAACTTCACCACGACCAGAAGTGGACTTCGAGGGCAGGTGTGTGGGCGTGAACACTTACAGAGCCGTGTTGGCTAGGAATGGATTTGTTAGGATAGAATTAATGTTTGAGATTAAAGATGGTTTTTTAAGTGTACATACTTTCATTTGTACATTCTTTGCTTTTCCTCTGCAAAGAAATGTGTGTTGATTTTTAGTGCCTTCACTTTTTCACTCATTTAACAGTCTTATTTTCTTCTTTCACTCTCTATAATAACATGTACATCTGTGTAATTTTGACTATTGAATTTCAAAGCTGCTACTTCAAAATATTCTTTTCTTATGCCATAAGGCTCTCCAAATATTTATACTTTGCATTATAATTCTTACATATCAATATTTGAACAGTCACTCAGAATTTATTGAAAAATTATTCTTTGCTCTGCAAGCTCACCTTAGTAGTGGGTGTAAGGAGCACTGCAGGCCTTCCTATGGCAAGAGCACAAGGTACAGATAGTTCCAGGAGAGGGGAGTGGGAAAAACATACAGATTAATAGGAACAATTAAAAAATACTTTTATCATAAAAAAGAAATCTATTTTCCAACATGACTGGAATGTTGGATTTTCCTAAGAATAGTATAGGAAGTATAGGAAAGTTCTCTTTTAAAAAAAATTGATACTATTTTTATTTTCATTGAGTTGTTTTTGAAATTGCTTTATTTTCAAATTAGCATACAAAATAATAGATACTACTATGGCATTTTTGAGGAAAATGTGTTTTTCTGTTTGTCTTTTTAATTGTAATAATATTTGTTGGTACAAAATGTTATTTCAATGTTGTTTTGATGATGTGATATTTAATTTTTGAATTATTTATCTGTGTGTCTACATGTATATATCTATGGGTATCTGTGGTCTATGATGTGTATGTTAGGGTCAGAGGACAACTTGAAGTCATTTCACCACATACATTCTGAGGATCAGACTCAGGTAATTAAACTGTGGCAGGTGCCTTCACCCACTAAGCCATCTCACTGGCCCTGATAATGTAATGTTTTAATATGTCTTATATCATAAGTAAATGTTTGTTAGTAGCTAATACGAGTTCCATAGTTTTCATATTTTAATCTAACTTTAGAATGAAATTCTTCATACTTAACAAATACTGTGATTTTTACATATTTTTCATTGCAGTGATTGCTTTTGACATCTATTTTCTGTTTCTTGTCAGGTACAAATGTGGAAGTATCTTATACTTAATTAGAAAGAATCAAATGATGTCACATTTATCTCAGTACTTGTATTTGCTCATTTCCAAGGCCTGGTCAAAATCTTTACTCTCTTTTAAAGAGCATTGTTGGAGTTTCTTCTTTTGTTTTTCTTTTTTAAGCTTTTAGCCTTAACTATTCAGCATGAAAAACCTGATCTAGAAGAACAGAAAACGAAACTGCTGCAGCAGGAGGAAGATAAGAAGATACAGCTAGCCAGACTTGAGGAGTCTCTGTTGGAGGTAATGAGCTCTCAGCCTAGTTTCCTATTGCTGCTTCTTTATCAGATACAAGCCACAAGTGTGACCCATAAGGTGTATGATGTTTCCAGAGTGGTACAAGTTATCTTAAAGTCACAATTCTAACAGAAAACAAGGATCTCTCTCTCAGAATGAATATCAGAGGGAGTTATTGTGGATGGAAGTTTCTGTACTGCCTAGTTCCACAGCCATTCAGTCCCAAAGAAACACACAGAGGCCTACATTAATTATAAACTGCTTGGCCAGTTAGCTCAGGCTTATTATTAACTAGCTCTTACAACTTAAATTAACCCATAATTCTTGTTTTGCCACGTGGCTTGTACCTTTTCTCAGTAAGGCATTCTTATCTTGCTTCCTCTGCATCTGACTTGTTACTGCGTCTCTGCCTTTCCTCTTCCCAGAATTCTCCTAGTCTGGTTGCCCCACCTATACTTCCTGCCTGGCTATTTCAGTGTTTTATTAAATCAATACGAGTGACAAATCTTTACAGTGTACAATAGCATTATCTGACAATAAGTTATAATTAAAATAAACTGTTCTAAATTAATAATTCCTTTTTATTGTGTTGTTTCATTATTCATTATAAATTTGGGATTTCAAGTGACATTAAAATTAGCATGAAATTATGACTAAATATGTAACTGTTTACTTTTGGTTATTATATATTAATATAATATATTAGATACTAATATATCTAATGTTATATTTGTAAATATAAACTGTAGTTAATTTGATATAGGATACATAATGTTGAAATTTTTTAAAAAGTATTTTTATCACATTAATAGTTAACATGTTTACATGCTTCATTTAATTGATTTTCTTAATATTATAATAATTTTTTATTATTTATTGTTAATTTCTTTTATTATTAATTTATTCTGCAGACACTTGCTACATCTCAAGGCAATATTTTGGAAAATAAGGATTTGATTGAATCTTTGAATCAGACAAAAGCAAGCAGTGCGCTTATTCAAGACTCACTTAAAGAATCTTATAAACTCCAGATTTTCCTTGACCAAGTAACTATTTCCTTTGCTGTGTTTTTATGTCAGCTTTCCTTAAATATTTGTGTTAACTTGGTAGAACATGTGCAGTCAGATCTTCAGGGAAATGATTTTGTCAATAATGAAAGCCATTCCAAAATACCAGAGCCTGGGTTGTGATTCCTGTTTTAGGGAGGCAGGTAAGATGCCTCTCACACTGAGTATGGTCAGCTCCTGTCCACCCTGGTGGCTTCGACATCATCTGCTACCTTGTTACTTATGGTAGAGATGTGCTTGACGATGAAGTTAACAGCGAGTTTTGAAAAGGGGTGTGAGAGAACATCTTTGCCAGCTGTGTCAGTTGGCTTTCCATTACTTTAGTGAATACCTTGGAAATCAACTTGTAATAAAGGGTTCATTGATCATTTACTTGTTGCTTCGGGGCTGTGCAAGGCAGGCAGCAAGCACATCACAGTAGGAAGATTTGGTGAAACTCTCATCTCTTGTCGTATGTGTGAGAGAGGGCCTGAGAGACTATGGGGAGTGCGGGAAACTAGGGTCCCACAGTGGGTCCTCTTTGAAGGCACTGCATTCACTATACTGAGAGCTCCCCCAGTGCCCCCTCTTAAAATGTCCTTCCCTCTCTGACAACACCATGGGCTTCAGGTAAGATGTTAACATGCAGACTCTCAGGGAAGAGTTTAAATCCAGACATCTAAACTGTGGCACCATTCTTAGACGTCTCTCTGTCTCAGTCCCTCCCTCCCTCCATCCCTCCCTCTCTTTTGTATTTTTGGCAGGGTCTTAGGCTGTAGTCTGTATTAGTCAGGGTTCTCTAGAGTCACTGAACTTATGGAATGAATCTATCTCTGTATATAAATGGGATTTATTGGAATGACTTACAGGACTTTAGCCTATAAGTCATTATAATAAATCTTAAATATTTGTGTTAATGTGGTAGAATTGTGTAGTCAGATCGAATCCAACAGTGGCTAGCTGTGCACAGAAAGTTAAGAATCTAGTAGTTGCTCAGTCCTACAAGGCGGGTGTCTCAGCTGGTCTTCTGTACAGCCAAATCCCAAAGAGTGAAGAAATGGACTTGCTGGCAACACAAGACCAAGTAGGCAGAGAGCAAAAGCTTCCTTCTTCTGTGTCCTTATATAGAATTCAAGCAGAAGCTATGGCCCATGATAAAGGTATTTTTTCCCATCTCAAGATTTGAAGTAAAGACATGCGTCTTCAAAGATGTGTGTTTTCTCACCTCAACGGTCCAAACTAGAAGTGAATTCACCCACTTCAAACCAAGCAGAAAATCTGTTACAGGTGTGCCCACTATTTCTAGGTTGTAGTTCATTCCAGATATAGTCAAGTTGACACCATGGCCATCACAAGTCCTAACTGGCTTGGCACCCAGCTGGCTTAAGACTTGCAGTGATCTTCCCCTTCAGCCCCCTGAGTGCCAGGATGACAAGGGTGGGTCACTGTGCTCAGCAGATTTTTATCTTAAGACAAGTTAAGTATACTAATTGGGTCATATACTATTTCTTTTCAAACATTTTCTTCCATAGTCAGAGTAGACAGTCAATGTGAGCATCTGAACCACTCTCTTACAGTTGCCTTGGAATCCTTCTTACGCTTTGATGATTCTAGTAGCGAAGCTCCAGCCTTTCATCACTTTTTCTCCTGCACAGTGCGATTGAGCTTTGCTGGAAACTCATATCGCTGTGGATTTTCAGGCAGCAGCCTGACCTTTAGCACACTGACATTCTAGAGTTATTGGGCGCGCTGATGTTCTTAAGTTATTTCTGTTCCCCTTGATGACTTTTCTGTTTCTCCTTTCCAATACTTCCCCACTCTTGTTCACATTTTACTCTCGTCTATTGCTTCGAATAGAGCTCTGTTGAAACCAGAATAAGACCAAAAACCAAAGCCTGATTCGAGTCCAGTCAATCCCACCTGCCATTGCAAAGCTAACCTTGATAGGCATTGACTGCAGTCTTTCCCACAGCATTGTGAGCACTGTGCCTTCTCTTATGCAGCAAGCGTTGATGGTCTGTAGATGGGACCCACCAAAGTCATATTTGTATTTGCAGCATGGTAACGAGAACATGAGACCCCACCTGCATTCAGAGCCTTGCAGCCATTTATCCTATTCTCCTGGGCTGTTTGTCAGAAAGGCAGCCCCCGTTTTATTAAATACAGATGTCATGACCACCTCTATCAGTCACATTCCCTGCCTCTGCTCCAACAACCTGTTCTTGCTTGAAGTGCTCTCGCAGGATGGCACGCCATGCTCCTGCATCACCTAAACGACCTGCCCCCACCCACTGTTCATTCTTTCTTCATCTCCAATACTCGTGGTTTGACTAGGACCAATCCATGAACCATTTGTGATTCTACCATGTTATGGTTAGAAAAATATTTCCGATGTCTTGCTATAATGTGAATGTTTGAGCCTCACTCTTAAATTCCTATGTAGACACCTCTTCTCTGCTGAGGTAGGGTTAAGAGGGGCACCTTTGTGGAGTGAAGGTCTCCTGGGTCAGGAGAAGAGTTATCATTGCATCATAAAAGAGGGCAAAGGAGGCGAGCTTGCCTTCCACTCTGGAAGGCACAAAAAGAATTGCCGGACTCCAGGGATCGGGAAATGAGCCTTCAGTAGACATCAGATCTGCTGGTGCCTTAGCCTTGGACTTCCTGCCTCCAGAATCCATTCTGTGTGCTTTCTCAAAGCACTCTGAGTGAGTGAAGACATTTTGTCCTCAGCTTTGTATAAATAAAGATGCTAATTACCTTAAATTACAGAAATTCTTCTTCATCTTGATTTGTTCTGTAAGAACAGAGTCTAGGGCTAGGTGTGTACAGTGGCCTGCAGGTGGCAGTAAAGCACTGGATGAGATGATCCCTCTTCTGTCTCCACTAACCACTAACCATCCACAGGAGCGGGATGCCTATCTGCCTTTGGCTGAGAGTGCCAGCAAGATGTACTTCATCATCTCTGACTTGTCCAAGATTAATAACATGTACCGCTTCAGTTTGGCTTCCTTTCTCCGAATTTTCCAACGAGCTCTGCAGAACAAGCAGGTGAGTTGTTGACCCAGCAGCTAGAGATGTGCTGGAGGCCACTTAAATGTTGAACTTACACTAGTACATTTTTCAGAAAAGTTTTATTATATATTTCAGAGGATCACATGTAACAGTTTTAAATTTCCTTTAGGTGAGACCATTTCTTTAATTCTGTTCTATATTCTTGACAAACTATTATAGTGTTGTTTGGAAACAAAGGAACAGTTTATGGTCTAAGAAAAGTTAATATTAAGTGACCCCTCAAACACCAATAATTCACAAGTGTTTGTAAAGGAAATAAATTGTCTACTTAGTCATATCACCTGAGCTGTCTCTTTGCCATTTGAGACTCTAATATACACAAAGCATTGTTCTCTACAACAGAGGCAAAACTATACACTGCTTTAGCAGGCTTGCTCTCCTTGGGGAAGCTTGACAAACTATCTCACTAAGTAGGGGTTTGGCTATGACACAGCAGGGATGTGTTCTGTGTGTCTGGGAGTTCAGCTGAGACTTGAGGGTGTGGCTCAGGTATAGATTCTTCAGTTCTCTGTTGAGTACCAAGGGAGAAGACTTGATGAATAGTTTCTTCACCACAGAACCACTATGGCAGGGTTGATATTTCAGCACAGAGTAGATGGACTTCTTATATGATACTTCGGAATCAAATATATTTATTCTGGTGAATAAGACAGAAGTGGAATCACATTTTGTAACATTTTTGAAGACTTGTATTGTCCCAAACAACTAAAAGTCTGTCCATATTCAAAACAAGCAAATAGACACCACCTCTTAGTGATGAAACTGTTCAGGAATTGGAGTGTCACACTTAAAAAAAAAATCTTTGATTTTTCCTTAAATTCTTAGAGTTGGGTAGCTGAGGGGAAAATGCATGTTACTAAGCTCTTTGATAAATGCTGACTACATACTCTTCAGAAATGTGTTCCGTTGGTAGATGGCTGTGCTTATGACGCCTTTCCAGTCCGTACAGGAGCCAGCACAGCTGCTTTCCTTCCCATGCTCGTGCTCCTGGGCATGTATGGAATCCCAATGCTGTTACAGATCACTTGTGAGAAAATAAATGTAGCTGTGTTTGATATTTGTACTTTTCTCTTGCTGAACACAGTTTCTACATCTTTTTTTTTTACGTTATTAATATTTTCAGACTTCCTCTGGGCGGTGGTGGCACACGCCTTTAATCCCAACACTCGGGAGGCAGAGGCAGACAGATCTCTGTGAGTTCGAGACCAGCCTGGTCTACAAGAGCTAGTTCCAGGACAGGCTCCAAAGTTACAGAGAAACCCTGTCTCGACAAACAAAAGCAAGCAAACAAACACACACATTTTCAGACTTCCTTACATGTTAAGAACCTTACACTTTTGTAATGTGTTGTACCTATTTTTACTTTATTTTCTGCCTTTTCACTTAACTTAAGAAATAATTTTGCAAAACCAAGACCATCAAAATTGTGACTCATGTTTTTTGCATTTGATATAATGCTGTCCTTTATTGTTTTAGAAGAGAATCTTCACTGGCGTTGACTGCTTAGTATTTTCACCAAGGATGCTATATAGTCCTTTGATTATAAACAATGATCTTATTTTTCCCAATACCTATCCCACTGATATATATTATTTTGATATGTTTATATACTCAAATTTGAAGTAAAGTTTTATGTAATAAAGAACTTGTGCCTTGGGGAAAGATTTTGCCAGCAAAAATTAGCCTGCTCTATCATGGTGAAAAGAAGTATTTGTACAACTGAAGGTCATAAGGACATTTAAAGTTTACACACTGTGACTCTGATGAGGATCTCCAAAGTGACCCACAGGAAACTGGTAGACATTGGGTGTCTGGGAGACTGAGAGTAAGCAGTGCTCTGGTGGGTTTTGTGGCCATTTCCTGCAGTAAGCCATTTTTGTGCTGATTTTGTGTAGACACACCAATGAGGTCAGCCGTGAGTGTCTTTGTGTAGTGTTTGCCTTCCTCTGGTATGTGTCTTAGTCTGTGTGCATCTGCCATTGTCGCCATAGTGATCTGTGTGCTAGCCAATAAAGCATGTCACATGATTCTTCACACATGTTCTTCATTCAGCCTTTTGGATTCTGAAAATCCTCTTTTCCTTGTTTTAGAACCCTACTGCACGAGAGTATATAGTTCCCTTAAGACAAATAGTAGATTTCAAGAAGATAAGGAATGCTGAAATGTTATTAGCATGGTTGATGTGGGAATGATTTCTTATTATTAAAGAAACTGCCTAGGCCCATTTGATAGGCCAACCCTTAGGTAGGCAGAGAAAACAGGATGCTGGGAGAAAGAAGCTGAGTCAGGAGTTGCCATGATTCTCCCACTCCAAATAGACTCAGGTTAAGATCTTCTCTGGTAAGCCACCTCATGGGCTACACAGATAATCAGAAATGGGTTAGATTAATATGTAAGAGCCAGCCAGTAAGAGTCTACAGATAACGGGCCAGGCAGTGTTTAAAAGAATACAGTTTCCGTGTAATTATTTCAGGGCATAAGCCTGCCATGTGGGAGCCAGTGCTGCCGGAACGCAGCGTGCCCCGAAATAATTACACGGAAACTGTATTCTTTTAAACACTGCCTGGCCCGTTATCTGTAGCCTCTTACTGGCTAGCTCTTACATATTAATCTAACCCATTTCTGATAATCTGTGTAGCCCACGAGGTGGCTTACCAGAAAAGATCTTAACCTGTGTCTGTGTGGAGTGGGAGAATCATGGCGACTCCTGACTCAGCTTCTTTCTCCCAGCATCCTGTTCTGTTTTCTCCGCCTACCTAAGGGTTGGCCTATCAAATGGGCCTAGGCAGTTTCTTTATTAATAAGAAATCATTCCCACATCATTTCCCCTTTTTCTGTTTAAACAAAAAAGAAAGGCTTTAACTTTAACATAGCAAAATTACATATAATAAAACAGTTATCAAGTAAAAATTACAATAATCTTTATCACTACACATGGTCCTTAGTTTTGACTGGTATTTAAAAATTGAAAGTATTAAGTATGTAATCAAACAGTGTGATATGATACTGTGTTGGCTGAAACATTTTGGTAAAAAAGTAAATATGTATACTTCTCAGTAACAATTGTTCTGTGTTAGATAATATTTGATTGGATAGTACTGACCCATTATGTGTACATGTGTATAGTTATATGCACATTTAAATTTATTTTCATATAATCTTATAAATATAGAGTAAAAAACTCTAGCTTACAAGTGTTTTAGAATAAAGTCCATTTTAATTCTTCATTTCCCGTGTGATGTTATGTAGTAAACTGTTGATGGAGCTGCAGGCTGCGTTCCTGCCTCCCGGCCGCCTGCCTAGCTTATACCCCAAAATAACAACACACAAACTGTATTCATATAAACACTGCTTGGCCCTCTAGCTCTAGCCTCTAACTGGCTAATTCTCATATTTTGACTAACCCATTTCTAATAATATGTGTAGCTCCAGTCTTATCGGGAAAGATTCAGCATGTCTAACCTGGCGGCTTGCTTCATCGCATCTACTTGGGAGAGGGGAGCATGGCGTCTGAGCTCACTTCCTCTTCCTCCCAGCATTCTGTTCTGTTTACTCCACCCACGTATGTTCTAACCTATCAGGGCCAAGCAGTTTCTTTATTAATTAACCAATGACCTTCTTCCATCAGTAAACAGTCATTAACAGTTTAATTCTTCATTTCCTGTGTGAGGTTGCGTGGTAAACAGTTAAGGAGTGCCAGTTCCACACCTTTCACTGGAAACCTAGCTCCATTTCTCTTAACCATTACAATTATTTTACCAGTCTTTTTTTTTCTGTAGTTATAAACACAAAAATATAAGCTGCTTAGTCTAATTTAATGCCAGAGTTAAAGTTTACAATCCATGTATTCTGTAAATGACTTCTGAAGTGTTGTGGTTTGTAGATCTCTTGTGCTCTATCCCCATTTCCAGCCGGTCAACCCTGTCTTCTTTGTCTAGTTCACATCTGTTTATTTTGAGTGTATGTGTGCATTTGTGCGTTTGCATGTATGTATACATGCGTGTGTACGCGTGCGTTTGTAGGTTACACTCAGGAGTTGTTTTCTCCTTCTCCAGTGTGGAAGCCTCAGCAGCAAGCTCCTTTACCCACTCATCTCGATGGTCCTAGGTTTTCTAAATCTGTGGAGATAATAATCAGTAATACAATAATGTTGTGACAGTTATCTAGAACAGAATTCCAGAGTCAGTCTGAGCACTGGAGGTGTGGGTTTCTTTGTACAACTTTCCAAGTTCATATTAAAGCTTTTCTCACCTGAGCTGAATTGGTAAATCAGATTCAAGTCTTTTAATTAGCCTTACCTCATGTTGAAATAGGTTGTGTTTTTAATGCTATTGCTATCAGAGTGATGTGTGGTAGTTGAACTAGTACTATTGGGAGTTTCATTATTTTTATTATTTCTATTTTGAAATTGATTGTAATCTTCATTTATTAAACCTTTGATTTTATAAATGTATAGAAATTGCATAGTATAAAATACTGCATTAGTGTACAATATAATGCACTTATTTAGTTAATTTCTTGGGGTTTGTGGACAAGGATGTTTATTTCAGAACCAACTTTGAGTCTGAAGAATAATTTTTAAAAGTTATGCAGCTATAAAATATATGTGAATGTTTCTAAATTTCTTAATGGATTTTCAAATTCTAATCTACAGGACTCTGAAAATACAGAACAGAGAATCCAGTCTCTTGTCAGCTCACTGAAGCATATGGTGTATGAATATATATGCCGGTGCCTGTTTAAGGTAAGGATTCATCAGATATAAACTGCTCCTCACTCCTCTGTCATTGAAATGGGCAGTTGTGTTGACAGACTCTAACTTCTCACCACATACCAAAATGTAGCCAGAAGGAAAAAAGACAAGGTGAGGACACTAGGCTAGCTGCATGTCTGTTGTAAGGTGGAAGGGCCTCCTTGTTCGTCCCATCTGCCCAGCTAGCTTACACCTGAAATAACCACACAGAAACTGTATTAATTAAAACACTGCTTGGCCATTATCTCTAACTTCCTATTGGCTAACTCTTATATATTAGTTTAACCCATCTCCATTAATCTGTGTATCACCACATGGCAATGGCTTCCTGGAGATTCTAACCTGCGTCCATCTCAGGCAGAGGATTCATGGCTTCTCCTCTGACTCTGCTTTCTTCCTCCCAGAATTCACTTCTGTCTTGTTCGCCTATCTAAGTTCTGCCCTATCAGGCCCAACGCAGTTTCTTTATTCATTAACCAATGAAAGCAACACAAACAGAAGGAACTCCTACACCACATGTCCTTGGTAGTCTTGCGCTTACTAAAAAGGAGGTTAGCCATTGGTAACGTGTCATTTCCCAGCCCAGGTTCCTCATCTTCAGGTCTAGTATCATCTGGGGACATGTTTGTGTGAAGTGGCAGTTCTGTGCCCGTGAGATATTCACCATTCCTGCGGCTGTCAGTTGCTAATAACATGCCCTCCTCTTTCTCTCATTTGTGAACACCTAGTGTTTCTAGGCATTGCCTAGTGTCCTCTGGTGTTTTAGTGACTTTTCTAATTCTGTAAAGAAACACCATGACCAAGGCAATTTATAAAAGGAAGCATTTCCAGTGGGTGAGAGTCCATGACCATCATGGTTGGGGAGTGTGGCAGCAGACAGACGAGCACTGTGCCACAGCAATAGCATGGTAGCTACAGCGTTGTTCTACAGCAATCCACCAGCGAGGGGCAGAGAGAGCTAAAACCTCGAAGCCCATCATTCCCAGGGACACACCTCCAACAAGGCCTCACCTTCTCAAACAGTTCTACCAACTGCGGAACCAAGTATTCAGACTTATCAGCCTGTGGGGCATTCTCCTTTAAACCTCCAGCCTGCATTGTGTGGTGCAGTTGTTACCTTGCTGCTAGAGTCACAGGGCGGAGAGTTGGTGGCTTCTGAGTTATGAAGAGCGACTTTCTGAAGATGTCTTCCTCTTAGGAAGGATCTAGAGCAGTGTTCAATGTGAGACTCCGGAGACTTAAGAACCAAGTTTAGGCCTTTAGAGCCAATCCTTGGGGTCAGCTCACGACATAAAGAGCTCCCACAAAGTCTGGCACCCGAGTCTAAGGAGCTGTTAGCACAGGTTAGTGCTGCACACTCAGGAAGTCCTGAATGCTGTGTTGTGTTAGTCGAGGCAGAGCCAACCCTCAGTGCAGAACTTCTGCACATGTGTACAGAAGTCCTCTTTCAGTGGGAACAGTACCTCTTCCTTCCAAAGGCTCACTAAGGTTCTGAAACCTCCCCCTTAAACCTCGATTTTACGTTGTGGAAGATTGAATTGTGAGCAGACTGTCCTTGTAGACATCTCTGGTTTTACGTTGTGGAAAATTGAATTGTGAGCGGACTCTGTCTTTGTAGACATCTCTGGTACAGGACAGTAAGATTCCCTCGCATTTTTCGCCATTACGAATGGCTGCACTGTGCATAGTACCTTTGTCTTGTGTGCAGATTTAAGTATTTTGATTTAGTAGATTTTTGGATAAAAGTGTATTTGCTTGTCTACTTGTTACTTGTTATTGTGTGTTTACATCTGAACTAGTTGGTACTCTTACCCACAGGAAACTGAAAGCACCTCTTTCTTTGGATGCTTATCAAACTGGGGGACACACAGAGCAGAGGACATGAAGTTGGGACAGATATGTTGCAGAGCGCTGAGAGGAATTGGTGGGAGGTAGTTGGGGGTGAATGGAATCAAGACAGATGTTTTGAAATTTTCAAGGTAAAACATTGTAAAACTAAAAATACCATAAACATTCTCCCTTTTAGCGCCACTTTTTTTTTTTTTTTTTTTTTTTTGGTTTTTCGAGACAGGGTTTCTCTGTGGCTTTGGAGCCTGTCCTGGAACTACCTCTGTAGACCAGGCTGGTCTCGAACTCACAGAGATCCGCCTGCCTCTGCCTCCCGAGTGCTGGGATTAAAGGCGTGCGCCACCATCGCCCCGCTTTAACTCCACTTTTATCATTCTGTTCAGTTTATATTTTTGTATTTCACTTATTATTATTCTTATTTGTGATAATTAAGGCTCTTATTATTAAATAAATAAGTTTGCTGTTAAGCCCATGCCATATAATTTACAATGTAATTGGCAAAGGGATAGTTTTTGTTTCAGTGCACTCTATGGAGGCTTCTTTGAAGTCACTTTATCCTTTAAAAATACTTTGAGGTCACGCTAAGCAGCTTCTAAAAGGTCACAGTAGGAGAGAGGCTAGGAAGCTGGTCCAGTCCTTCAGTGTGCACTCAGAGTCTCTTCTTGTCTACTCTGAGCTTTCTTAATCTGTCAGGAACAATTGGCAAGTCCTAAAAATACAATTTGTAAGATACTTTTTAATAAATAAAATGTCTGTTTTGTCAAATTCCTTTCTGTCACTATAGAGTATGATTTCAGGATTCCATAGTGTCTGAGTAATAATGGTGAAAGTTGAGAAGCTGCATCAGTCATAAACGATGAGATAGACTCCTCAGAATTTATACTGCAGCATTAATAAGGGCAGAAGTGGTTTCATGTCCTTGTTAAAGCCTTCTGGTTTGTAGCAGTCAGCCTGATGTTACCCTGCCTGCCAGAGCGTCACCCACGCAGCTCTGCCCTCATTTGGTGACAGCAGTGTGCTCCAGTGGATGAGTGTTCAGGTCCATCAAACTGAGTGCAAGTTGACTGGGAACAGAAAATAACTGATCTGTTTTGTATCAGGTATTGTGGACGTTTACTAAACTGAGCCAAGTAGAGAAAGCTGCCTGGCTATTTCTACTTAGGTGATTGGCTGTGCCATTTCACTTTCTTCAGGTCAGGACACTTATTTCAGTACTTACTTAATGAAATGTATAAATTATATATTTGTTTTCCCCAAACTTGTCATATTAATAAAACTACATGGAAGTAACTCATGCTTTTAGTATCCCCCCCCCCCCCATGAATCTTTTGGGATAAAGGAAAGAGGGCAGGACAATAGCGTTTCAGAGCACTTTGGGGCAGGAGGCTGAGGGACGGTGCTGGGAGGAGCACTTGGAGAGTGCTGTTGGGGAGCAGTAGGGAGCATGGAGCTTTAGGGGAAGTCTAGGGGGAGCATTGAGAAGTAACTCTGGGAGGAGATTTAGGGGAAACTGGGAGGAGCACTGGGGAGCATTAGAGGGAGCTCTGGGAGGAGCAGGAGGGAGTACCAGAGAGAGGCACTGGGAGGAGCTGTAGATGGAGCACTCAGGAGCACTCTGAGAGGAGCACTGAATGGAGCTCTGGGAGAGATGTCTCTAAGTTACCTCTTCCTTGTGCAATACTGCTTTCAAAAATCTCACATGTAGAGAGAACAGTGGGTGAGAAAGAAAAAAATTTCTTCCTTTTGTATTTTCTGTGTAGTTTACCTTGCCTTCCTTTCTAAATGAATTTGCTCATTTGAGTATCATTCAGGTGGATATTGTTTTTAAACAAACTATTACTAATACCTCATGATTATTAACTAATAATCTTAAACTAATACTCTTAAAAACTTTATAATCTATTGAAGTGGGTCTTAATAATTTAGGCAGTTTTCTTCTACTTAGATAACTCTGGTCTTTCCATTTTCTGCCCTCTCTTCCTCATTGTATCATAAATGTGCATAGAGTCACCCGTTAAAATGTCCAAGTTAGGGGCAGTCCCAGAGCAAGGGCTTGAGTTCTGTGCTGTCTCATCTCCTTTGCTGTGGCTTAGGGCTTTCTCCCTTGGGTGCCAGGAGTTTGGTACTTGTCAGTGAACAGATTTGAAAGGGTTGACTACTGTAGAACAGCCTTAGATTTGGTAGCTTCCAGTTTTTACTGTTCTTGAGAATTATAGGATTAGAAGAATAGTTTTGATGTGTGTTTCCTTTTCAGTATTATGCAGTTTGCCATAAGTCTGCCGTTATGTCTGAGTGTTATTACCAGATTGATGTGGTAGGTAAGAACCATATGTGTATTTAATTCCTGCAATAGGACTATATAGTTCTAAGAGATTTTGAATTAACTTCTCTTTACTTGGATGTAGAGGGTGCTGAAGTTGCGATTACAAAGCATTCTACGTAATGCTGATGCTTGAGATTCCTTGATAGCGGATGGATGACCAGTGAAACACTGAGTACAAACATGAACTTGTTCTCTTACATTCTATGAAGACTCACACTATACTAACCCTCATCTAGTGGATTCTGTTAGTTATTTCCTGGAGTGTTGTATGTAATTGAATGGAATGTGGTGGACACCCAATGTCCTGGTCATCTTTTGTTTATCTTCCTTCCTTCAGTCAGTAGGTTTCATTGGGCTTTTTGGAATAGATTCTAACAGAATGCAAACATATTGAGATAAAATGACACTGAACTAAGACTGAGCAAAGGCACTGAGGGATTTTATGAATCTAAAATATTTGCTCAATTGTGGATGATGACAAAATTTCTTTTTAAAAAACAAGACTGAAAACTTCTTAGTTTGATCCATCCATCTGTAATCTTACTTAACTTGATGGGAAATAATGTGCTCCACTTACACTTCTCTCCCCCTCTTTACGTTGTGGCTTTTGTTTCATTTTTGACTTGGTTCTTCCTTATGACATCCTTGTTAACTGTTGTGACTAAGGGATTCATCATTACAACTAGACAGCCAGAAGGACATCAAACAATGATTTATTCTGCCATTTCCACCTTTAAAAATGATGGAAGAAGATTGTGGCTGGTCTGGTTGTAGAACTTGTTTCAACCTTGCATTAGGACATATGACACCATAATTCCATGTTGTCCCCTAAAGTGAAATAGCGCCTGTAACCAGAAAGCAAGGAGGAGACGAAGCGTCTTACTGTTGCTGACCACACATTTTCACCAGTGTTGGGTAACGTTTGCTCTGTGGTTATTAGCTTTAGCTTACAGATCCCAGGGAGTGATTGGAGGCTTATAGAGCGGCAGAAGGTTTCCTGCTTTCTGTATCGTGATGTCACTGTAGTGTTCTGAGTGCAAAGGAAACAACGACTGGACAGATACAATAAATGCTGTGAGTTGTGTGTGTGTGTGTGTGTGTGTGTGTGTGTGCATGTGTGTCATAAGGGGTAACACAGTGACAGAGACACCAAAGCCATGTGTTTAATCATCTTGTTAATATTCTGTTTATGTTTATTCTCTTAATAAAGACACAGTTTGAATATTTGTTTTTTCTGTGTGTAGAACCCGAAGTCACTTGTTATTACTGGTAAAAAAAAAAACCAATTATAGAACGATATCATCCAAAATTTAAAGACACTTAAGAAATAGCAAAGTGTAACCCTGTTCTTTTTTGCAGGCTGACCAGTTGATGTTTGCTTTGCATTTTGTTCGAGGTATGCATCCTGAACTTTTTCAAGAAAATGTAAGTATTATTGAATGAAGGAAATCTTGGAACTACAGAGAAATCCGCTAACAGGGTTTTCTTAAGCTAGAGATGACTTAGGCTGGAGTTGTCTGCACATTAGCTGGTTCTCTCTCTCTCTCTCTCTCTCTCTCTCTCTCTCTCTCTCTCTCTCTCTCTCTCCTTCTTTCTTTCTTTGTTTTTCGAGACAGGGTTTCTCTGTTGCTTTGGAGCCTGTCCTAGAACTAGCTCTGTAGACCAGGCTGGTCTCGAACTCACAGAGATCCGCCTGCCTCTGCCTCCCGAGTGCTGGGATTAAAGGTGTGAGTTGCTGTTTGAAGGTCTTTTCTCTGATGTACACTTAGGATCGCAGGTTACAGAAAGGAAGGAGTCTAAGTGATTTCCTAGGGTACTTGGGTTACTGTGAACCCGGTGCCCTTACTCGGGCTGGGTACTGGAAGAGTCAGTCTCCTGGCTTTCCTGTCTGAAGTAGAGCAACTGAGAAAGGGGAAGTGGTAATATGGGCGCACAGTTGTGTCATCTGTCACCGCCGCTCACCTATCAGGAGTCAGCAGATAAATGGGGGTGGAGTGGGGTACACAGTTATCACATGAGCCCATAGGGTCATGTTGTGTTCTTTGTCCAGCATCTTTTTTCTGGTCTGCCATATAACCACATCTAATATGATACTCACTGGAGCTAGAACTAAGTTTAAAGAGAATTGTGTTAGTGTTCTTTTTATTGCTGTATGAATACCATAGATGGAGAATTGAGTAGACACGAGGCTAAGGGAGTCCAATCTGTTGCCTCCCAGCTCTACCTGGTAGATTGTAACTGTCTTCTGAATTTTCATATTCACAGCTCTACCTGTCTTCTCTTGTCGTTTCTAATTCCACATGTTGTTGCTTGTTTGCTCACCTTTTCCTGAATTGATTAACTGGGCTCTAATAATTTTATCAACTTAGCTAGCCTTCATATAATTTTGAAAACTATAATTAGTATGTTTTCAGGCCTTCTATGTCCTATTGTGCCTTCCTGGAATACTTTTCTTAATTTCCGCAGCACAAACAAGTTTTAACCTTGGTAGACTTCACTATGTGTGTATGAGTGAGCAGTGGTGCATGGAAGAACAACAGTTAAATGTCTGCGTGGTGAGTGTGCCACACGAGGTACACACGTTTGTGTCTTAGTACAGTTCCCTCTGGTCTGCATGGTGAGTGTGCCACACAAGGTACACACGCGTTTGTGTCTTAGTACGGTTACCTCTGGTCTGGATGGTGAGTGTGCCACACGAGGTACACACGTGTTTGTGTCTTAGTACAGTTCCCTCTGGTGACTTTCATGTATAGTGCACATGACTCCCTAATGCTGACCTGCTTGCAGAAGTGGGAGGTGCTTTCTTCTTGTTCTGAGGAAGCTGTATTGAAAGATGTCCTATAAGAAATTAAAGCTAGTGTTGGCTGGTTGTGTTCTGATATTCTTTGTGTCCCTCATGTTTTATTCACTAGGAATGGGACACGTTTACAGGTGTGGTTGTTGGAGACATGCTGCGGAAAGCTGTAAGTTAAAATGTTATTTCTCTCTGGGAAAAACATTCTTGCCTTGGGGTTTATGAAATACAATTGCATCATAGGAGTTTAAAACTGTTGTTGAGTTATACTTTTATTAGAAGAGTGTGTCCTGGCCTGTGCTCACTTACTGTAAAGTGGGCTTAATATATTTTTAGACCTTGAAAAGTTACATTTTTAGAGAAAAATATTAAATACTAAGATTTTAATGCTGCTTATTTTTTTTTACAGAACTTGTATGTTGTGTTAAGAAAAATGTCATAATCTTTAGCAAAATTAATGCTTTCTTTTTTAACTGAAGCTTTAAAATTACTTTTTATTACTTTAATAAGTCTGTTTGGAACATACAAAATTTAAATAAATAATAGATAATTATTGTGAAATTGATGCATTGAAAGTCCAACACAATCTACATCATTCTGGACTGTACAGGACAGGGGCTCTCCATAATCACCACAGCAGCCGAGTAGCATCCACGGGAGGTAAGAAGGCAGTTCAGTTCAGCACAGCTAAGTAGCCAGTGTGGCTTCAAACTCTGGGAGTCTGACCCTGAGTTTATTTTTTAGGCATATTTAAGCACAACACAATTTGGTGAAAACTTTTCCAGTGATAGTGAATTCAATCCCGTGTGCATAATAAAGCATGAATAAATCTCCTTGAGGAACGAAGTAACAATATGAAGACCAGACATGACTATATTGAATCTCTGTAGAGTACACGTGACAGCTACCATAAAGATGGCTTTTATAGACTGACTGATAAAAACAAGCGTATGTTGAGGGTTTGAGGGAGGGTCTAGTGGCACAGATGGCACAAGGCAGGAATGCAGCTTTCCAGGCAGACAACAGCTCATGCACTCCTTCCTGTGAAGGGGCAGCTCTGTGCACCTACTTTCCAGGCCCCACCCCCCCATGGTTAAGCGCACACGCGCACACGCACACACACACAAAATGAATGCCATGTTTTATATATCAGTGGGCTTCTTCTCTCTAACAGTGTTACATGGAATTTTACCATTGTGACTTAATAAATATAGTATATAGAAAGTTTTGTTTTCAAACTTGTGTTGACAAAACTAGCTATTCAATTGCTTTTTTTTAAAAAAAAATTTGAGTTTTACCAAATGCATTAAGGAAAGTTGCTTTTACTGAAGGACTCTCAACAGAGAATTCGTGATCAACTTCCATCTTGGATAGATCAGGAAAGAAGCTGGGCAGTGGCAACACTGAAGGTATTTTCTTTTTTTTAACTAATATTTTTGTTAAAAGAGTGTGTGTATGTGTTTATATATGGTCTGTCTGCACACGTGTGCTGGTGCATATGGAGGTCAGAAGTCAGGGCGGAGGATCTTACTTTTGCTGAGGGAACTCCTTCAGCTGATAACCTTTAAGAAGCTGGCCCATTTTGGACGTGCTCTCATGTAGTATAAGTGCAGACGGAAAGTGTGTGTGCACAGCCCCTTTTTTCTGCTGGACTCAGTTCCAGTTCCCAGCGCTTGCAGAGACTTCTGATCGCTATCCTTTCTGGGAGTTTATCCCCAAATAAATGAGCCTTTGTTATACTCCATTCTGGGCTAGGGACTCTTTGCTACAACTTTTACTGCATTCCCCCCCCCCCCCCGAGTCAGGGTACTTCTGAGCCCAGAGCCTACCAATTGGGTAGACTGAGTTAGGTGGAATGACCAGCAAATACACGGGGGTCCTGGTGTTTGTGATACTCAGATCTAGAATTACAGACTCAGGCCACCATGCTTGGCTCTTCATGCATGTTCTGGGGTTCTGAACTCATGTTTGCATAGTGGTGAGCCCTAGCTCAATTTCTATTGAAACTTTTTTTTTTGAGGGATATTGTTTTTTTTTTTTTTGTTTTTGTGTGTGTGTGTGTTTTACTTGCGTTGACATTTTGTATGTGCAACTTAATATCAGTGTTGATAATTCTATAGTAAAGACATAAAATTTCTTCATTTAAAATGCCAAAGAATTTGTGTGGTGTCTGCCTCCTCTAGCTTATTTTTAATTGCTCAGCCCAAAGCATTGTGTTTGTAGAGATGAAAGACAAATGCATCCTACTAACTTTGTTCCCCCTTTCCTGTCACTGGCCTGTTTTCCTTACAACTGTATAGTACTACAGCAGCCCACAGAGAAAACAATAAATATGTCCAGCAATTATTGGTGACTCCCTCTGAGCTGTTCTGCAAGGTTGAAAATGGCTCTCTTGTTTCATGGTTCCAACAGCATCTAAGGCAGCTGCTCTGATTGCATTGCTTTAACAATGAAGGGGGACGAGGCAAAGCTGAAGTCTGTGCTTCAGTCTGGAGTCTTTTACCCCTACACTGTATGCCTTTCCCCCCATAATTTTTGTTGATAAAGTGAGCGGGCTTCTCTTCATATCCTATTTTATTCTCTTTATTGATTATTCACTTCATGCTTATTATTAGCCATTATAGCGTCAATGACCAGAGTTTTTTTTAGTTCACCTAGCTTAAATCAACCTGCTGACCTTTCCTTTCACTGTGAAATGGCATTTTGCCAAGAACTCAGTAGTTTGCTGTTTGCTCAGAATTCTCCCATCTTCTACATAAAATGAGCCATGAAATCTTTTGCCATCTCACCTTGGCCTGCTTGAGAGAGAATTCTATTTAGTTTATTTAGCCAGAATTTCTCTTACCCTGAAGTTTTCTTAGTAACTGACTTCAATTCTACTTCTTGGATATATACATATGTATTTTCTGAGTTGTGTTAATAATTAAACCTGTTTTGTATTGATATCTTCCCATTATAATAACCTTGAGTCAGATCTGCTCTTACCTCTTAACTGTTATGCAGCTGTGGGATGGCAAATGTTTATTTTATATACTACGAAACTCTTCCACTGAAAAACTCATTGTCAAGTACCTCCAAAATTGCCATTTGATATGGCTGGTTCTACACAAGATCCACAGTCCTGAATGCTTGATTGGATGCCTAATACATGGCAGAGAACATACTAACTGCTGAATCACCCATCTCAGAGCACTGACTGATAATGGGACAATTATGTAATGCATAGTTCACTGGTGTTATTCGTGGTCGGACTTAAATGCCTGTTCTTATAAAGCTAACAGACAACTATTAGATATTATCCAGAGTCTTTAAATCATTAAAACTGATTAAGTTAAATGTGAGTTGTTAAGTTTTGTTGTTTAAAGTTTAGTTGGTTTATATAATTATATATATCTCTATATATATATCTATAGATATATGGTACCAGTGCAAAGAATTATTTAGATATGGGTCCAGATGATAGGTATAGTATCCTAACAGTCTTGATGTGTCAATGCATGAAGTTCCATACTACAGATACAAGCCTTCCATTGTTTTAAAAGAAAACACCCATCTGTACAGATGGGCACTGCTGTTCATATTGTCCATTCTTGGAAAAAGTTGGAGAAAGGGGAACGTTGAGATAGAAGTACTGGATGGATATATTTGGGTAAATCTCTGAGATGTGACATTGTTTAAAGCAAAAACTCGTGTTGAACAGACACCTAGGAACTATCAATGTGGGTTTGAACATTTAGAGGCAAAAGAAATAATGTGGTCACATATAGAGACATAAGCAAATATGGCTTACAGAAGTCATGCTTTCTGAAGGATTTGCTGGTGTTACAAAAGACCAGAGGTGGACAGAAGGTAAACCTATAAAGGGGAGTTATTTTAAAATTTACATTCTCTCTCTCTCTCTCTCTCTCTCTCTCTCTCTCTCTCCCTCCCTCCCTCTCCCTCTCTCCCCCCACTCCCCCACAAGCGCGCGCGCGCACACACACACACACACAAACACACACACACACACTGTGCGCTAGGAGATCAGTATAGTACTGATTTCAGTTCGGAAGACATGGACAGGTAGGAATGCAGGCAGTGAACAAGGAGGAGTTGTTGGCTGTCAGTGTTCCCAAGAGCCAACCGCATCTAAAGCAGTAAAAAACTGGCTCAACTCACTATGCATGATTGTTGCTGAAGGTGATCCAAAGTAGGAGGGAGGGACTAGATGAGAGACTGAGGGTGGGGATTCTTACTAAGCTCATGTAGAAGTGTCTTGGTAAGACTTCCACAGACAAAGTCTTCCACAGAGAAAGGCTGAATCTGAAACCCAGGTAAGATGCCCCCGTAGCACCATTGGGTCAGAAAAGAGCATGCTTGTTGCTAGAGCTGCACTTTGACTTGGACATGAGCTCAGTTGTGCTGTCCCTAGGACTTGCCCTTGGTTTTGATGATAGTGGAAACAGCTAGGTACCAATGTCTTCCTGAACAGAAAATATCTCTTATGATTGTTGACCTATAGAATACTATCTTGGGAGTAGTTTGCTGGCTTTAATGTGGGTGTTTCTAACCATGAAATGTGAGACAAACTATAGCCTCGTAGAAAACAAGTAATAAGCTCTATAGTAGTTAGTGTCCCTTGACTTTCGTAGTTTTTATAAGGTATGTTCATGTGCACATGGCTGCAGCTCCTTACATGTGCTAGTTTCCATTTTAGATCGCGCTCCCCAGTCTCTACCAGACCCTCTGCTTTGAAGACATGGCACTTTGGCGGACTTACTATCGTCACTCAATGTGTGAACAGGAGTTTCCATCAATTCTTGCAAAGAAAGTTTCCTTATTTCAGCAGGTAAAATTTAATGTTATCCAAGTGTAGAGCAAATTCAAAACTGTGATGTTTCTCTTGTCCTTGAGGTGCCATTTAAGTAAAAGCTTTGCCTTTAATGTATTATGTAACTTCATATACATGCGGGAGGAAGCGCTTTCTGCTTTGGCCACCTTACCCAGACAGAGCCCTGGCAACATTTCTGGGTAGGTGTCTCCCTGTACCTCTTGTTAGTCCCTCTGCCTCTGGTCCCAGTGGGACCCTGTGATAGGAAAAAAGCTCTTTAAAAAAGCAGCTCTAAGCATAAATCATATAGATTCTCCATTAACTTATTTTAAAGTCGTAGCTAAAGAAAGGATTTAATGTGAAGGAAAGGGAGCTTCTAAAACTCCATTTCAAAGGGGAACCCTGAGATCTCTCACTGGGTGTCTTTAATTTCAACTTGGCCAGTGGCTCTGGAAATCAGCACCTAGGAAATGGTCATCCACTTGCCTTGTGTCTGAGCTGTCTTTTTTTTTTTTTTTTTTTTTTTGATTTTCGAGACAGGGTCTCTGTAGCTTTTTTGGTTCCTGTCCTGGAACTAGCTCTTCTAGACCAGGCTGGTCTCAAACTTGTCTATTATGAAAGCCAATTCATTCTGTTTTCTTGTGCAATGAATGCTATCTCAGCAGATGTGCTTAAAACAAACAGCAAACATCTGAAAAAGAGCATTTACACAACAAAGGAGTGTTACACATTTACAGGACTTGTAATTCAGATGCCAGGCAGGCAGCTGCCAGATGCTGAACATTTACCCTGCCATCTAACTGGCCATTGGCCCTTTATAGGATCTCGAAGACATATCTAACTCATCCTAGGCTTACTTCACATAAGAACTTTAAGGAGTTTTTGACATAAAAGGGAAGTCTTGGTTCATAACTGTTGTGACAGTTCCAAATATAGTAAATAGTGTGCAAGATTGGTTACCCTTGTATTTCTGTAAACATTAATTAGTAATCATTGACTGTTGTTTAGTTAATCCTGCTGAAAAACATCTATGTACAAAATTCTCCATTTGTTTTAGGTTCTTGTTGTTCAGGCTCTACGACCGGACAGACTGCAGAGCGCCATGGCTCTGTTTGCCTGTAAGACCCTGGGTAAGCCCTGCCCCTTGCAGACTACACCTCTGACCCGGGGTGACTCCTTTGGAACTTAGAGTTCATTTTGTGCTAACTCTAGTAAAACTGTTTTAAGGTCTTTTATTATTATTTGTTTTTATTTTCATACAACTTTTAATCTCACTTAGCTAGAAATATACTTCTCCCTGTTGTACATAATTATACTCAGTGTTTAATCAAATTACACAGTTGACATCCTATATTTAACAGGGTAAAAATACTGAATTTTTAAAAATTATTTTCTTATGGAAATATTTTTATTTGTTATAAGGGTTACAAAGAAGACATTCAAATGTTAGTGGCAAAAATGAAAAAAATTCCAGTTACAATAAAATACACTGTAGCCCTCAGAAATATAATTTTCAAAATTAGTAATTTTAGCATATCTAAAACAAAATATTGACAATTTATTTATCTTTCAGACTATAGTTGTTTTGTAGCCTTTCAAAGAGTATCTTCTAAAGAAATAATTCCATTTCTATAAGAAAAATTTAACAAAAAACTTAAGGAATGCATGAAAACAGCTTGGTGTCATGATGTACACCTGAAATCCCTGATCTTGGAGCTGGAATTCTGGGCTCCATGCTTATTTGTTGTTGTCTCTGCATGTCTAATAGATGCACAGGGCTAATGCAACTGGCATAGACATTTTATTTTCTTTCATAGCATCTAATTAACTGCTCAGATAAAAATTTCCAGAATCACTTCTGTCACCCTATCTCCCTTACAGTCTACTTGCAATATTTTAGGTTTTAACTCCAAAATTTATTCTGAGTTTGTTTGGTTTACTAGTACAACTTAAGTAGATTGCAGTAATGTAGTGGCATTTCATTTATATTTTAATAAATAAAGCTTGCCTGACGATCAGAGAGTAAAACAGACCCCTTGGTCAGCCTTACAGACCAGGTAATGGTAACATACACCTTTAATCCCAATAGCCACACTAGCAGTACATGCCTTTAGTCCCAGAGATGCACATCTTTAATTCTGGAACTAGAGAAGATTATAAAATGGGAAGAGACAGCTTTCAGACATAGTTTTATTCTGAGATTCCTGGAGGCAGGATCGTCATTTTAGATTGAGGTGGAGGTAAGAGCCAGTGGTTCTTTGCTTTTCAGGTCTTCAGGTTAAACCCAAATATCTGTCCCTTGGTTTTATTAATCGTGCTTCATTTTGGAACCCAACATGGGACTCAAAACCATGACCCTGAGATTAAGAGTCTCATGCTCTACCAACTAAGATAGTTGTGCTTCAAAATATATAAAGAACTCAAGAAAATAGATATTAAAAAAATCCAATTTAAAAATGGGTGACAGAGTTAAACAGATAATTTTCAACACAGGAATCTCAAATGTCTGAGAATCACTTAAAAAAATGTTCAACATCCTTAACCATCAGGGAAATGCAAATCAAAATGACACTGAAATTCCATCTTATACACTACAACCCACAGACCCAGAAAAAAAGTAGCACGGAGGCCTGGGGGTGGAATGGGGATGGTGTTCCTGAATCTCAGTCTGAAGGGGGAATAGAATAGACGTTGCCAGTGGATGAAGGGGGGCTGTGGGAGGGGAGATGGGAACAGGAGGGCTCAGGTTGGAGGAAGATAAATGGATGCGGGGAGGGAGGGAGAGAGTACTAGGAGAGACAGCTGGAATCTGGGAGCATCTCTGGGATGAGCTAGAAACCTTGAGCATTGGAAACACCTAGGAATCTATGAGCAGGACCCTAGCTAAGACTCCTAGCAACAGGGGATACAGAGCCTGAACTGACGTTCTCCTATAACTAGGCAAGTATTCCACAGCATGGACACAAGCACAGCCACAAACCCTTCAACCTACAATATGTCCTGCTTACAAGATGTGCTGGGGTACAGATGAGTGCAATCAATGAAATTATTCCTAATAATATTGTTATACTCATAGATTAGTGCCTAGCCCAGGTGTCATTAGAGAGGCCTCACCCAGCAACTGATAGGAACAGATACAGAGACCCACAGCCAAATGCTAGGTTGAGCTCAGTGAATCCTGTGGAAGAGGGGAGAAAGGATTGTAGGAGACAGTGGGGTCAAGCAAACCCACAGAACTTGGTCCCAGGGGCTCACAGAGACTGAACTGACAAGCAGGGAGCCTGTGTGGGACCAGCCTAGGTCCTCTGCATATATGTTGCAGATGTGTAACTTGGTCTTCTTGTGGGACTCCTAATGGTGTGAGCAGGGCTGTCTCTGCTTCTCGGACCTGTTCCTCCTGCTGGATTGCCTCATCCAGCCTCAATAGAAGAGGAGGTGCTTAGTTTCACTGCTACTTGATATACTGTGGCTGCTGATATCCCTGGGAGGCTTGGAAACAGAGGTAGAGGAGTAGACAGGAGATGGTTGGGGTAGAAAATAGGAAAGGAGGGAGGGGAAACTCTAGTTGGGATGTAAAAACTAAAAAATAAATGCAAAAACAAAAGGCAAAAAAAAAAAAAACCCGGTTAAACATAAAGTTGTAAAATATGCCCTGTAGCTGGAGTAGCTCCCTCTGAAACTGCTTTCATCGTTATGGGTTGCTGCTGTGAGGAATAGGAGGGGAATCAGGGTGCAGCATGCATCTTTCCATACCTACAAGTGCCTCTTGGCCTTATTGATGGCACTGAATTCATCTTTTCAAGTGTTTACCACAAAAGTCTTACTGGCTGTTTGTACTCATTTCTCCTTTGGAGACTTGTGGAAGCCCTGCTTGTTTGTATGGTCATTCCCTGGACATCACGGCTTCCCAACCTCTCTCATGTTATGTTTCTGTGTCATTTTCTTTTTCACATTAGCTTAAACAAGTGTATTTTAAGCTCTTAATTGAAGTGGGCATTTTCAACTTTTTATTAGATAATCATGTTGACAAAAGAAATTTACATATAATGGGAAATTTGTTATTCCCTATCTGAATAGACTTCAGAGTTGTGAGAGCCTGTGGAGAGGAGGAAGTGCAGGGGAGCTGTTTGAGTGCACTTGGCTCTTGGTGGCAGGTCATGCTGGGGCAAGACGATTAGCTTCCGTTGAGTATTTTCACAGAAAATTGCTTGTTATTCAAAGTGCTTATGTGGTTTGGTGTGACGTTTAGCGCAGCAGGTGGTGAACTCTAGTGACATTAGATTGTTGGGCTCCAAAGGAGGAAAGCAGAGAGCAGTGCCTGTCGGTGAGCGTGTGAGGGGTGCTCTGTTCTCCACTGGACTCCCTCTCATGGTGCCAGGAGACAGTCTTCATCCTGTCTCAGGACAGAAGTGTTTGCTTGGATGATTACAGTCTGGAGATGCTAATTCTACCTCCTCATTTCTTCAGTGGGTCAGTGCGGTAGTCAGGATCCGCTGATAGCCATGTTGCAAGCAGAGGGTACCTCATAGGAAAAGTGTTACAAAAACACATTCTTGGAAGCATTCATAAGTAATAGTATTAATAGTTGAGTGAGTTTTAGAGAAAAAATGTAATATGAGATTAAAAATTAACCAAATAGTCTCTATGTTATATACTTACTTTTAGAATTTTTAATTGAAATAGAATTCTGCCACTTTCCCTACTCATTTTCTTATCTCCAGCCACTCCCAGATATTCTTCCTCAAACCCTACCTGTTTCCCCCCACTCTCAAGTTCACAGCCTCTTTTTCCTTTATTATTATCATGTGTGTTCACAGATGTGTGTGTGTGTGTGTGTGTATATAAACTCAGCATCTCAGTTATACATGCACTTGCGAGTGCGCACACACACACAACCTGCTGAGTTTCTATTTGTTGTTTGTACGTATTTGGTTTCAGGGTTGACTACTGTTATTGGACAACCAATAACAGGGCTCATCCCTGGTAGAAGCTAATTTTCTTCTTCCAGCATTCGTTATTTGCATTGTAGTTCTCTGTGTAGGAGTTGGGCACACTGGGATTCCCTCCCTTCCACATTAGCATGGCCATTAACAGTGCCATTTTTCCGATCTTGTTTATTCAGCTAGGAGAGTCTGATAGCAAATTTCCTGGTGTTCCAGCTTTTATGATCTCTCTGCTGAACTACTGATACAGGATCTGTCATGTAGATGTAACTCTTGGGACAGGTCCCCCATCTCAATTAGGGTTTATATTACTGCGATGGAACATCATGACCAAAGAGCAAGTTGGGGAGGAAAAGGGTTTATTTGGCTTACACTTCAGCATTGCTGTTTACCACTGATGGAAATCAGGGCAGGGACTCAAAACAGGGCAGGATCCTGGAAGCAGAAGCTGATGCAGAGGCCATGGAGGGGAGCTGCTTACTGACTTGCTTCCCTTGGCTTGCTCAGCCCAGGACCAGCATCCCAGGAATGGTATCACCCACCATGGGGTGGACCCTCTCCCCCCCCCCCCTTAATGACTAAATGAGAAAATACCTTACAGTTGGATCTCAAGGAGGCATTTCCTCAGCTGAGGCTCCTTCCTCTCATGACTCAATAGCTTGTGTAAAGTTGACACAAACACCCCAGTACACTCCCTGACAATTCATCATCCTACATTGTGTGCAGTTGTGGTGTTTTGGGATGGTCTCCTCTTGCTTTACAGAGAGGTGGCTCATGCACCACATGTAATTATTTTCAATATATTTTATAGTGAATGTTGCCTTCTTTCTTTAACTTCTGTAATACCTGTTCTAGGACTGAAGGAGTTATCCCCTCTTCCCCTGAATCTCAAACGTTTATACAAAGAGACGCTAAACATCGAGCCCATCTTGATAATCATTTCCCCAGGAGCCGACCCTTCTCAGGAACTTCAAGAACTTGCTAATGCTGAAAGGAGCAGCGAGTGTTACCACCAGGTGGGTAGGGACTTCCCTGTTCTGCCCACCCCAGACCCTAGGTCCTAGCAGTGAATGGGCAATTAAAGAACAGTGTTGAAAGGTGTCCATATCCAGAACTCAAGATCAGCAAGAAGAGACTTGTGAATGTCCTTAAGGACCCTGAGATGGGAAAATTCTTCTGATTCATCCAGATTAGCCCAGTGACATCACCAGTATGTTTTTAAAGGGAAGCAGGTGATGGGGTATGAAGGTACAGACTGTGAAGAGGGAGGGGGAAGGCAGGAGGGGAAAAAAGATTCATTACCTTGATGGTAGATCAGCACAACTTCAGGCTTCCAAAAGCTCCAAGACCACTTGAGGTAAGGCACTAAACATTGTGTTTGCTTGTCAGAGCACAGTAGGGAACGGATACATCTGAGGAAAGTTTGAAAATGACTTTAGAATTGTTAGATTGCTTTCATAGCAAATGCACTAGTGTTCACTTGGAAGTTCCTTGACTTAAAAGCAAAGAAATGCACAAATATTTTGAACAAAATCTACTGAATACCATACTGTTTTTCTTAAAGAGTGAGCTTTGTTCATTCCTATCATCTTTCAAGTCAACGTGCATGCAGGTTTGAGCAGGAATTTATTAGTTTATTGTCAGTTTTTGGAAAGTTACTTTATCTCTTTCATTAAGATTTATGATTTAAAATACTATGATTTGAAAATTCAAATACTTCATACCTGTTAAACTTTAAAAAGAAATAAATCTATGAGGACAGCTCTGGTTGGTTGTAGGGTAGCACTGACAAGCCCTAGGCTCTTCATGCAGTCACTGGTGAAGGGATGGCATATCTGTTAGTACAGTGTGCATGTGTGTGTGCTATGGAGCCAGGAGGCGCCACAGACTCTACCTGTCATCAGTGACTTTGACGGGAAGATAAAAACTATACTCTAAACTATGAATTGTTTATTGCCCTTAGAAAAGATGATTAATTCTTGGTATTTGTTTTTGAATTTTCTTAAAGCCAGTTGTGGAGGTTTAAAATTTATTATCCTTCTCTGAAAATGTTATTTTTAGAATGTTTTAGCTGATTCTTTCCACTGGGGTTTTTGTTTGTGTAGGTTGCTATGGGTCAAGGTCAAGCTGATTTAGCAATACAAATGCTAAAAGAATGTGCCCAGAATGGAGACTGGCTCTGTTTGAAGAACTTACATCTCGTGGTGTCTTGGCTTCCAGTTCTGGAGAAGGTAGTGTCTTAGGGTTTCTATTGCTGTTAAGAGACACCAAGACCATGGCAACTCTTATAAAGGAAAACATTTAATTGGGGGCTGGCTTATCATGGCAGGAAGTATGGCAGTGCACAGTCAGACATGGTGCTAGAGAAGGAACCGAGATTTCTACATCTGGTCCCACAGGCAGCAGGAAGGCAGGAAGATGTTGGACCTGGCTTGAACATTTGAGACCTCAAAGCCTTCCCCATGACACAAGGCCACACCGCCTAATAGTGCCACTCCCTATGGGCCTACGGGGGTCATTTTCATTCAAACCACCACAGGTAGCTTGAGATGGATGTGGCCCAGGAGCACGAAGCATCTCAGTCATAGTCTCCAGGACGCATCAGTATCAAGTGATGTGTTGCGTTTAGGGAAGGTAGTACTTGAGAAGATAATTGTAGGCTTATTCATTTTTGAAAACTGTATGTGTGCCAAACAAAATTGATCTTTTAGTAGTAAGTTGCAAAGTCCTGTCCTTTTAAAGAGTGGATAAGGGAAACCAAGAAAGTACTGATTAAGACTGACAGAAGCACGGCAGATTTTTTCAGAAGGAAAGTAGAAGATGCTTTGATGGATTGCCGAAGATCTCTTTATACCATCGCATATGCTCCTGTTCTCTTGTCTGTCTCTGAAATCACAGAGGTTCTTAGGCACTTATGAAAGCTAGTGTAAACTGAAGCAATGATCTCATTTTGCTCACTGGGCCCCAGGAGGAAAATCATCTGAAGACAGAACAAGGTGGTTGATATGTTGGAAAGGGAGACCTGTATTAAGTCTGTCACCCAGTTAAGAAAGGTCTTACTGATCTTGGGAGAAATAACTCCAAAAACGAGATGCTCCTGAAGGCTGAGCAGAGGAAAGGCATCCTGGGTAATTTAGCAGCACAGTAGCCGCGGGTGTGGAGGTATGCATGGCTAGAGGGTGAGGTGCCTTTCACAGTACAAAGAGGGCTATGTAGGGAGTGTAGGCTTAGGGTTTAAGGGGCCAGAGAAAAGATCTTTCCAGAGGGGTTGGTAATTAATATTGAATTAAACCAGCTGAGTAGTTTCTTAAATAGAATCAAACAGAACAGTAGATGAGGCCTGGCCTCATATCCTTTGAAATGTTTAGAAGTATACAGTCCTCATAAATTGGCAATTACAGCACTTTGTGAAGAACAGGTAACTGATACATCTATAATTGAGACAACAACTAAGCTGATGAGCTCCTGGTTCTGTTACTTGTAATCAATAGAAATAGATTTGAAACCAAAGCTATCTGAATATTCACATAATGCTTTCCATGGAAACCACTAGTATATAATATGTATAGAACAACTCACATGAATTTTAGGGTCTGAGGACCAGTAACCCTGCTTTCTGTTAGAAACAGTTGGTCGAGAGACACTGAGTCACATAATAATCACATCTTAGCTAGAACTCTATGAAACATAGAGAGTAGATGATATTCCAAATCTTAAAAACAATGTTTTTATTCCTTTTTTTCTCTTAAGAGGTTCAGCTCAAAATATACGAGCATACTGGAAATATAGCCAAACAACAAATGTACCATTTCTCTTTAATTTTTATAGATGTGCAAAATTCTGTATAAACTTTATATTTTAAAAGTGTGAGATGTGAATACATTTTATCATTTTTAATTTTTATCCAGCACAATGACCATGATTTTGCTATTTTTTTTGCTCCTAGCTATACTTTTGCATGACACTGATAATGAATATTAGAGTTTAATGAAGATTATATTTGTTTATAGTTTTCATTGTCTTTTAGAGCAATCAGGGTATTGTAGTTTGCTTTATTTTTGACAGGGTCTCACTCTGCAATCCAGACTGCGCTGTAACTCATTCACTTGAGCAGTAGATACTTGTTGAGTATATGAAGGGAAGCCAAGATGTGCGTGGGGGCTGGTTGCCTGTAGATTTCCCCTGGAGACAGACCACACTAACACATAACTGCTGGGTGATGAGTGTGTACATTCATTAGCACTGATAAAGTTGGAGCTGCGGTAGTGAGGCCTGGAGAGGATGTTCCACTGAAACATGGTGCTTAGGTTATATGGCAACAGAAAGAAGTTATCAAGTGACTTAGAACTCTCAACTCTCCTCCAGCACTACATCTGCCTGCAAGTCTCCATATCCCACCATGATGACGGACTAAACCTCCAAACCAGCTGCAGACTGTGCAGGGCTCTGCACATGCTAACTATCTGCTCTGTGTCACTGAGCTGCAACTTTTTAGTTGCTGGGAGCTGTACAATCAAATTTTCAACTGCATACGGGGCCATTGAGGCATATTCTTCTAGCCAGGTAGCGGGACACGCCTTTATGGAGACTGGTCTAGGCATTTCTTCCACCTAAGGATCTCCTGGAGAGCTGCAACAATGCCCAAAAGAAAGGCTGCAAGTGATGTGAGTCAGGAGCCAAAGAGAAGATCAGCCCGACTGTCTGCTGTGCCTGTGCCCTTTACACCAGAGTTGAAACCTAAAAGAACATCAACTCAAAGGAAAATGAAGAACACGAATGTTGTAGCAGAAGAAAACAAGGATGCAGGTGCTGTAACAGTTCCTGAAAGCAAGCCCAAAGATGATCAGGAGGCAAGCAACATGGACAAGGCTGAAAATGGAGAAGCCAAAGTTGTGGAGGCACCCATTCAAAAGATGGAAGCGGAGGAAGTAAAAGAGATGAATGAAGATGCTGAAGAAGATGGAGGAGAAAAGAAAGAAGCAGTGGCAGCAGAAGGAAAAGATGATGAGCTAGAAGAAAAAATCCAAAAATATAGAGAAAAAGGAAGATGGAGAAGAGGACAAAGATAAAGACGAGGAGGTGAAAGACAAAAACAGGGAAGGAGTCCTGGAAGAGAAACCAGAGTCAGCAGGAAGTAAGGATGCAAAGGAGGTGATGAAAAAGAAGACAGCAAAGAGGAGCAAGGAGATGGGAAGAAGGAAGAAGAGGAAGATGACAAACAAGAGGAAGCTGAAGCCGAGGAAGAAGTTAAAGAACAGAGAGAGGAAAAAGAAGAGGAAGGTGGAAAATGCAAAGAGGAAAATGAGGAAGATGAACAGGAAGGCCAGAGAGGGGAAGACGGAAAGGAGAAAGATGGTGGGAAAGAGAGACAGAAGGAAGAAGGCGAAGACAAAGAGACCGCAGGTGAAGGAAATGATGAAAGCAAGGTGGAGGCCGAACAAGAAGCTGAAAACAAAGATCTGAAACATGGAGAAAGAGAGGCGTCTCTGAGTATTGTCTAAAACCGCCCTATGTGATATCATAATTTGGTAACATGTACCTTCCTGTTGTAATGTTAATAGAGATAAAACTTTTACTAGATATTTTATAAGCAGTGCTTCAATTCTGGAACATCATTCAATCTTGGAACATCATACAGGTTATTAGTTGTGAAATACCTAACATAACACCTTTATACATTTTGTGGTTAGAGTAGTGCAAAATATAAAATGTCCACTTGCGACTTTGTGAATTTCACTGTGTGTAAGTTATCTTAGCATTTCAATTTCATTCTTACATGTGAATATTTTGCAGACTAGGAGAATTCCAAAAGAAAGAGTTTGTACAACTTTACTGTAGCTCTCTAGGTTGCTTTTATAAAGAAGGTCAACTCTTTTCAGGTAATGTTAAGAATTAGAATTGCCATTACCAAATATAACTGTATTAGTAGCTTGGAAAGAATATAACATCTTAATTTTGTTTTTGGAGAAATTTGAATGTTTGTTTCAGGAGGACAGTTTTGATTATATGTGTATGCACAAAGTTTTCCTGGATTTATAATAATAAAACAGTTCTATAAACATTAAAAAAAAGAAGTTATCAAGTTATCAAAAGGGGTATACGCAGAAAGAAGAATGCTTGAGTAAATGATTTACATATATGATATGAGGGGTGAGGGCAGGTGAACTGTGTGTTACCCTTTAAAACTGACTTTGTAGGGCATTGCTAACACTGCATAACTGAAAATGGGACTGGAACAATGAGGCTAGAGTCTAGCTGGCAGCTTCGACTTAGTACCTATAGCTGAGGTTGACTTTGTACTGCAGGCACTTTGTGACCAGGTTGCCATAATCTGCGGAGTAGCTACATGCTTAGAGGTGGTATAAGTTGTAGATCCCAAGGTCACACAGCAAGTAAATGGCAAAGATCGGATGTCAGCTCAGAATAACTGACCAGACTCATGTTCCTATTTATTATTTTGTTTATCTGTTGTTAAATAAATCCAAAAATTAAGAAATATCAAAGTATGACAAATATTTATTGGTTTTTAAAAAGGAATTGAATACTCTTCAACCTAAAGATACCTTTCGTCTGTGGCTCACTGCGGAGGTTCACCCTAACTTCACCCCCATTTTACTCCAGTCAAGCTTGAAGATAACATATGAGGTAAAATGATTCCCAAGTCCTATCCTGAGGCATAGAAGAGCAGTAATCTATACATTGCCTTCTAAAGTTATGTAAACATCTATTATTCAAAACTATATTTTTTTAATATTTCGTGAGGTATAAATTACATAAATAGCATAAGATGGTAGAAAAAGGCTTTAAAGTTATTTCCAAATTTTATTTATCATTTTGTTATTGCTGTTTATAGAAAAAAAAAAACCAGACTCCACAATGCAAAATTTATCATCTTAATCATTTCCTGGATCACCTGACAATTGGACTGAACTTTCTGAAGTCCCTTTGTACTTTCCCCACTGTGCTTCCATAGAGGTTATGTTCCCACTGATAACGCTTTGCCAACATCTGTTTTTAATAACCCCCGGTGGTCATCCTGATGGATGCTAGGTGATAAATTCCTGAGAGTTTGACATGTGTTTCCATGACGACTAGTGGTATTTAGTCTTTTCACGCGTGTTGAATGTTTGTGCATCTTCTCTGAAGAAATGTATATTGCACTTCCTTTCCCCTTTTTAACTTCATTACTTTATTTTGTTGTAGACAAACTAGAACCACATCTGCATATCTATCTATCCCCAGACTTGAGTTTCAGGCAGATCCATCTTACTTGTTATGTGAATTGTTGTATTTTCAAGATATAGTCTATAACTTCTCAGTCATCATAATAGGTTGACTCAAAGGTTAAAAAACCGTGCCCCTCCTTTCTCCTGTTAGCATTCAGCATCTCACTTGTATTAGAAATGGCAATTTTGGTTTGGTAAACAGGAAATTCTTAATGATCACATGAAATTTACTTTGTTATTTTGAATACCTTTGGTGATCAAGATTTATTTTATTTTGAAAATACTATGGATTAGCAAATAATACAAACTATTTGCAAGGTTTAAGGCTGCTTTTATATTTGTATACTTTGCAGTAACAGAAAATTAAGTTGGGCTTTTGGCGAAAAGCTCCATTCACTAAGACAGTGTGTTGAAGCAGGTCTCCTGTGTGTGTAATGTTTTAAGCGGTAGGATGTATGTTCATATCTTATTCTTTTAGTCACCTCCAGGTTTGAAGAAGAATTTGATGCGTACTTACGAATCTTGGACTCCTGAGCAAATTAGCAAAAAAGATAACCTGCACCGGGCTCATGCTCTTTTTAGTTTAGCATGGTTTCACGCTGCCTGTCAAGAAAGAAGAAATTATATTCCACAGGTAATTATAAGTATGTTTTGATGGAACTTAATACATTTATTAGGATTTTATAATTTAGTGTGTAAAGGTGGGGTTATGTCATAGTTTGGTTTTCTAATTTAGTGGTTTTCTGTTAGCTCACTACACTGTATAATGTTTGGTTATATGCTTAATGTACCATTGATTTGATGACCAAAGGCCAGCCTGTGACCCAGTGGAGGTAGCCAGTGAGCATCAAGTACTACTACTCCTGTGGTGGATATCTTAGCAGATATCTCAAATTTCAAAAATTAAACCTCCCATACCTGTTTCCTCCAGGATAGCCTTAGTTAAATGCCTTCGCACCTCGTTGCTTTCTCAAGTTAGCATCCCAGGAATTGTTCTTGGTGTATCATCTGCTCACTTTTTTCCTCAATACATTATCAGGTACTAGTCTGTCTCAAAACATAACTCCAATGTGTGTATCCATAAGCTAGTAGGGAGCATGATTAAAGTATTACGATTTTTGCTTCTTAGTTACTTGGTAACCCTTTCCCAGCCTGACGTTCTTTAAGGGATCTACATATCCAGCAGATCAAAGCCAGTCTCTTTCCACTTCCACTGGAATCCAATTCAAAACTGTTAATCTCTTCCTGTTTTCAAAATATCACTTTTCTATACATTATATTCTTTCCTCTTATCTCCTAGATTGGGTCAGATCTTTCTCATATAGGTAGCATATGTTTCTTACCATCAAACCTTATATAGATATGTTTTACATGTATTTAAGTTGTCTCTGCACTTGCCTGGAAAAGCTACAAGGAAATAGATTCATGTTTGGGTTTATTCTTACATACTTGGAATCTCATCTGTAATGAACATTTAAGAGGTATTTTGAATGGTTAGTCAATACCGATACATTCCTAAATACTGACACTATGCAAGTTTTAAAAATTTTAGTTTGAACTTAATCAATTATATAATTAGTGTAGTTAATGGAAATCCCATAGAAATTACTTTTGTATCTTACATTATTGTTCTGTAGTATCACGTTTTAGGTGTGTTTTTACATAAACATCATAGCTGTTAGGTAGTTGTTTGTATAAATTAATGTACAGAAACAACGTATACTTTTAGGACTTATTTTGGCAGTTGTTTTGTGTTTGTGGACAAAATGTTTAGTTCTGGAGCATGAAGGTATAGGAAACACATTAATATGCTTGTGGTATATAGATTAAGAAAGGTACTACATCAATTTGTGCTCTGACTCTATGCTGTGTGTATAGTGATAAAAACTGGAGTGGAATTACAAACTCATTTTCATGCTTCTGAGGTCAGTAGATTTTTAAAAATATGATTTTAAACATATGCTGCATTGATCTTTAAAGATTTTACTTTTTAGTGTATAGTGAATGTTTTTTTCTTAAATTTTTGAGAATGGTGATGTATGATGCATGTCTTTGATTTTACTGTGCCTTAAATTTTCTTTAATAGGGTTGGACCAAGTTTTATGAGTTTTCGTTATCAGATCTTCGGGCTGGGTACAACATCATTGACAGGCTCTTCGATGGTAAGCTTTAAGAAACAAAGCCAAGCCTAGACTTGCACTGCTGCACATGTTCTACCTAAGTGGCTAATTCCCACCAGACATCTGGGGTTTTGCTTTGTGTTTGGTATTTTAACGCCCTGATTTCTGTGCCTATGTTATCTGAAGGTTCTTGGGTTGGGTCATTGATTTTGATATAATGCATTAGAATTCCGACTTACCAATAGTTTTTAGGAAACAGATCTAGAAAGAGCTTGTGTCCATTGTGTGGCCTACAAAATTTTCAGGCTCAACTGAATTGTTAAGATCTCTTTCTAAGGAATGAATGAATGCTCTGGATAACAGCAGAGCAGAACTAGAACCGAGAATTTGCAGAGTCCTGGTGGGATTCCTAAGTCAGTCTACTGAAACAGTACAGGGATGAAACCTGGGACTTCACCCATAGGGCCATTTAGCCCTTGGCTTCCTTGAAGCCAGTAGCACTCGAATCCCTAGATCCAGTTGTCCATTGCTGAGACAGGAGCCATAAAAGCTTAAACACATAGTGGATCAGAGAACAGATTAGACTGATAGAAATCTGAATTTAAGTACTACCACCACGTCCATAAATCCTGTCCCACATTCATTCCCTGTCAGCCTTGCTGTCCTGTCCAGCTGCTCTTCATCAAGCCCCACCCCTTTTAGTAATGACATCACCTTTCATTCTCCTTTTCAAGCCTGTAACTCTCTCTGCTCTCCTGTGTTCTAGCAGCCCTATGCTGTGACAGTTTCCTTCCTTCCTTCCTTCCTTCCTTCCTTCCTTCCTTCCTTCCTTCCTTCCTTCCTTCCTTCCTCCCTCCCTCCCTCCCTCCCTCCCT